CAAATTTTTAATTTAATATCTTTGAAACTTGAAGAACTATTAAACCCAAAACTAGAACTGTGAATATTGCAACAAAGTTTAAGTACGCCCCATTTATTAAAGACTTTTACCCAATCGAGAATTAATTCATTAAAATGTGAATGAAACGGAAAACTGCACATAAAATAAAGTCGACAAAAATACATAAAAACATGTCAAAAACAACACAATAAAATATAACGTTTGGTACACATTGCGCTTTGAATGTGTGTTTTTCAAAATGGTAAATATAGAATTCACATGGTAACACATAAGTCATAACATAAAACAGTGGTCCAGCTTTCCGTTACTAATTTGAGTAATAATTATTTAGGTCAATCGACATTTCTCTGCCGACTAACACAAAAATGCTCTGGGAGCGTGGATTTTCCAGACTAGCGCCCATTAAAGTCGTCTAGCCTAAACATTGATAATCTCGAGTGGGCCACCTACACGCTCGCCCCCGCCCTCGCTCTCTCTCTCTTAACGATGGAATTTTGATTTGAAATTGTCCGAACATGAAAATTTAAAAAAAAAATGACAACTGGGGAAAAACCATCCAAAAACCTTAGATATAAAATTAATGAATTTTAACTGCATCCTAACTAATGAATCCCCTGAAAAGCCCTGCGACAACGATTTACTGATACTGAAAACAAAACTAAGAAGACGACGATTACGTTGCGACGAACGTCTGGAGATCTTCTACAGCGGGCCCCGGGCCGTAGCTGGGCGATTTCCACACCAAAACGGCATTCTGGGTGGTTCGCACCGGGTACATAGAGAAACGGAGATTCGCGTTAGAATAATCTCGCAACAATGTTCAACTAAAGAACCATGCACTCAAGAGCACTAGCTTGCATCCAAAGGAAGATAATTAAAATAAGCACATACCTGTCCAATTCGACCAAACGCCCAGCGTTCTTACCGCCCCAAACGTTCCTCCCTCCGCGAGTGAAGAAGCGATTCTCAGCCCCACGGAAGACGGCAGCGGTGGTTGGCGGCTCCAACGACAAGGGGGAAAAGTCCAGGTGACAATGGGGTAAAAAAAAACAATTGATAAAACTGAAACAATGAAAAACACACAGAAAGCGCTCTGTACAAAATTGTAATACAACCTCGTCTCTGCTGGGTGTTAAAGAACTAACTGTCGCCACCGGCTCTTCGCTCCGTCCACGCCACCCTCTCCCCTCCCTCCTTCCTTACACAGCGTCTTCGTCGCCGTCGTAGGTTGGGCGCGCTTTTCTTCAAAATTTAAATACGAAGTAGGCCACTACAGTGTGGTACAATTTGTGTACCATCGTACCTAATGGGTTAAAAAAAAAGCGGTTTAATTCTTCGCCCACTGTACCTGAAAGAGTTAACTGGAATATATAGAGACGTTGCCCATCAAAGTTGTAATTTAAATTATAAAGATATTTGTGTTATACCCGTGGTCTTTCATAATATGAGTGGATATGATGCCCTTTTTTATGTTTGGGGGTAAATCAAACTACATATAACCCATTTCTGTGTATTTTATTCATGGTTACCAGAAATTACATGTAAAGTTTTCTTATAATCATCTAACTTAATCGAGGGCCATTTTGTTGAATCAAGTCCCTCCGTCCATCCTAATGGTATTTCAGGATTGGCTTCTCCTTCGAGAAGGTTGAAATGCGAAAGAATCGTAATTTGTTATTGTTAAAGACTCATAGAAAGTACTGAGCGATTTATGGTTTGCCAAATACGCAGCCCGACACATAATTCATCCACGCACTCGTCGATCCTTCGGTAAATTTTCCGGATATTCTCAACAGGATAGAATATATCTCCAAGATTCTGCCAGCGATTCTCACTCAATAATTTATAAATGAAACATTTATACGTTAGAATATTGTCCAAGTAGTTGGTGGTCATTAAAAACCCCAAAGCAGCATAATTTAAATTTTCAGTTTGGTCTCTTTCGCATATCCACACAGGTTGACGAGCTAACAGTTTATCGAAGTGTTTTACATACTTAAGCAAAGCAAGGAGTGATAAGATTATTATAGTAGGAACATAAACTGCGCACTTTACGCTAACATATGTTGAGAACAGGGCGGTGAATCCTGACATCTGGTTAAGATTACGAAATAATTGTGTATCAAACTATAAGGGGCGAAATCTTTATACTAAAAGTATATTTTGACGTTAATTAAAGAACATTGAGGAATATTATTCATGAACATTAAACTAGCGTAAAATAATTAACGGAGGGTTGTTGGGGGTTGCGACTGATGGTGGTAACAGGGTTGAGAGTGTCCGGAATATCAGCGGGTTGCACTCTCGTTTATTCCAGGCGCTCATATGGGAGAGCCTGAGGGAGGTACACGTGCTTTGATGAGGAAGAACTGTCTGTTCGTTAAATTAAGGGCGGTGATAAGATAGACAGTTGGGCAGAAGCCGGGTGCACAAACCTTAGCAGTTCGGCACGGAGGGCCCAAGTCAAGCCGGAAAAAGCTGATTCTATACGGCGTGTTGAGTCAATCTCGCATTACCGGTGAGAGCCTTCGCAAGGGTAGAATCGCATAATTAGGTCACTACTCTACGCTACTCTCTGAAGAAGGTCGAATTGGAGATGCACTTGCCACTAGGCTGACAGCCGAAAGTTGGGTATCACGATCACACTAGGAAGCAATGTACCGTTCACGAGACTGTATCGGAATTACTTTTTAATTCCTATTTAGGTCGTTTTTATATGATTTTCAAGCGTTAGATCAGTGATAAAGATGCAACAAAAAAATCCATTTCTCGCAATTTTATCGCCGGAAACGCCGGCAAGTCTTTATAAAAATGCATTTCCCATAATTAATTGTCGTTCGACCACCCAGAATGCTAGCAAATTTGTCAACCTTGTTAACCTTGATCTCAAATGTTTTGCAGTTGACTCTGAGTTCCCCTGCAACTTTGTATATTAATTGCAATTGGAGTGCTTTGGTTGGGTGCAGCATCACTCTTTTCTTGACCAGAATAAACTTCTAAATCAAGACAAAGTTTAAATAATTTAATTCCAAATTTATGTCGTTTATTGCATAAGATAAATACTTTAGACAATATAGCTGAAGACATCATGCAAAAGGGAGACTCAAAAAGGCAAGCTGAAAGTCTGTGCAACAAGATGCATGAAGTAGAACTTGCTCTAATGTTAATGATTTGGAACGATATTTTAGAAAACTTTAAAAAAGTGAGTAAGGCTTTACAGAGTGAAAAAGTGGCCCTATTGACTTGCGCAAATTTATATAAATCACTGAGCATTGGGAAATGAAACCTTTTTTTATTGTGATTGTTGTTAGGTCATAAATGGTTGACCTAACGGAAATTTGTGTTCTCGAAAGACCAGCGGTCACAAATGGGTGACCACAATGATGTTAGTCACAATAGACGACCAAATGATGAAACTATAAATACAGCTTCCGTGAGACACGAACCTTTCTGCTGACTTTTTTTCGAATCTACAAAATATTTACATTTATTTACAAGTGGATGTGGTGGGCGAGAGGGTGCAGTCTGCTGCACCCCTTCTCCTTCGGTTTACCTGACTGGACCGAACATCCCGGCCCGCATTGGCGCAGGATCAATCAACCTAAATTAATTACGGTATGAACATCGTTATGTGAATATGTAATTAATTTCCTAACCTAATAACATAGCTAATTATAATAAGTACAACATGTTAATCTTGAAATGACAATACGATGAATTGAACAAGATAAATATGCAACACTTCCATACGAAATTCCAATTTTTGGTCTTCATTAAAATTGGGCAAAGTAGGAAGCAAAGAGTCAAAAAAGGCGCGGTCTTCGTTGAAAGGCAGTGGTAAATTTGGTGCTGATGTATCCAAGAGTTTCAGCAACTTTGCCTCAAACTTTTCGTTGCCTCCCTTTTTACGTTTCTGTCGTATGTCTACGGAATTCTCGATGGTATCATAAAGAATCTTTAATTATTGGTTGTAGACAAATGTATTCAGAGAACTGATGTGTTAATGGGTAAAAATTTTACCGAATTATCGGACATTTCCTACATCAAATCAAGACATAAATTACAGTTCCTTCAAGTATGCAATATAAACAAAATAGAAACTCGTCAACTCGGAGTTGAGAATTCAGTAGTCGTCGACCAATTAGTAGAGTTACTAAATGACTACCCAATGTGCGTAACTGATGAGATACGTGTAGGAAAAAAACGAAGAAAGAAAATTTTGGAAGGCTATTATTTCTTTGACATTTATCCAATATCAAACGTCAGATTTTGATATAACATAAATCATAAACTCAATTTTAAATCGTCAGTGTTGATGTCTGATTAATTACGGCTATCGCCTGGTCAGGAGGGCTGGTGTCGAGGTGAATCGGTCATAACAACAATTACGCAACTTGTAAAATGTAATTGGGGATGCGTCATTTTGACTTATAATAATCAATCAACAAGTTCGGTACTACTTTATCATGAATATGACTGCTTTAATTAACAATTATTTTATCAATGAGCTCTGTCCTAATGGTTGGAAATCACAACGGTCGCAATTGTCCGGTTCAGAATGTGCGAGGAGTACTAAGGGAAATGAAGGCGCACGTAGTACTTGCTCTCGCTACCGACAATAGGGTACAATACTGAGTCATGCAATGGGGCGAAGGGAAATGAAGGCGCACGACGTCCCCGCTCCAGCTACTGTCCCAGGTACCCAGGTCTAGTACCAAAGAGTGCAAGGACACCAAGGGAAACTGACTTGGTACCACTTCTGTATCAATAATCATGTCAAATGTGAATTATTGCAGATTATCCAATTAGATTTTATGATGATTAGCAGTACGGATTACACCCTTGTGAAATCTCGCTCACATCACCACACCCTCAAGAACCGATAACTCAGTGATAACACTCACCTCAACACTTTTTGATCAACCGTAACACGGAACTGTTAAAGTCGTCTTAAGGCTCCCACAGACCAACGCGGTACCGCGGGAGCGGGAGCGGTAGTGGGAGCGGGAGCGGTAGCGCGGGAAGCGGGAAAATTGTACCTATTCACACCAGAACATATTAGTTCAGTTGCGGTAGCGGCAGTATTTTTTGATTTCCGACGAAAACATACACAAATAATGAATTTCTCATCAGATGAAGAAGATCTTTTATTACTTGCCGTCGCAGAAGATGAAGAACATAATAAGAGGTTTGTGTTAGCTTCTGTTTGTTATTAATAAAAATAAAAGGTGCCACAGGAAGAAGCGAAAATGGATCCATGACATTAATTTGGACCGGGAAATTTTCGGGGAATTTCACACTTTAATGCCGCAACTTAGAGCAGACCCAAAACGATTTTACATATACTTCAGGATGACAAGTGATTGTTTTGATGCTATACTAAATTTTATTCGAGCCGATATTCGTAAAAGTGATACAAATTATCGAGAGGCGATTAGTCCAGAAGAACGTTTTGCAATCACATTAAGGTAGGAAAAGTAGTAAATACTTTATTATGCATGTTTTAACAAAACGTAAAAATACAAAAACTCTTCTTAAATAACAGTTAAGTATTTATTTACTGTGGAATAAAGACTGCACGAACGAAGCAGCCGATGAAGTAGAATAATTATTGTATTGCGGGTATTGTAGTGGAGGTGCCCCCATATCACTATAGTTACTGGTACTAGTCCCAGGTCTATTGTTGTATTCGTTATCTGATGAACCAGCATCCAAAGGTGTTAGCAGTGAAGAACTTGTGTAACTAGTGGCAGCAGAGGAAGGTCTACTTTTGTGGTGATTATTGCCCATTACTTCTTCTAGATGCTGACATTCTTGTTCTGTCATGATTTCTGCGATTTTCATCTTGACGTACGCTTGTCTGCGTGGGGAAAATGTTTGAATAGTTTCTGAATACCCCATAAAGATCATATCAGTGGGTGATATTTTTTTCTTACGTTTTTCTTCAAGATAGGCTATCACTGTATCGACGGCAGAACCGGATCTCTCCTCTGCTTTAACACTACTTCGTCTTTTCTGACGTGCTGATTGGTTACTTGAAGATGTAGACGCTACTACCCTTTCCTGAGATGCTTGAGATGGTTTTGGAATAGTAGTATTCTTGATATGAGTACGGTCACTGGTAGTATCTTCGATATCAGTATCTTCTGTTTCAACAGTTTGTGAGTAATCCGATTCTGATACAGTTGTGTTGTTAGTAAGTTGTTCCGTATTTTCACCCACGTCAACAGGTTCTGAGACGTTTGTGTCAGTGTTCGCAAAAGCCAAAAATGGTTTGAAATGTTCCATGAAAGGAGCCCACTGCCAGTTTTTGTAATTTTTCTTTGCGCTCTGACCTGTCCTTGTCTTCTTCGATTTTAGATATTTTGCATAGGAATCTCTTAAATTTTTCCATTTCTTCTTTACGTCCTCCCCTAAAACAATTTTTTATGTATTTCAGATTCCTTGCCACTGGTGACACATATTACACAATTGGTCACAGTTACCGTGTTGGATTCTCAACTGTTGGTCAAATAGTTAGGGAGGTATGTGAAGCAATTTGTCAGAGATTGCAAAATATAGCTATGCCAGAACCAAATGAAGAAACGTGGAAAAAAGCAGCAGAAGGATTTGAAACACGTTGGCAATTTCCAAACTGCATTGGCAGTATAGATGGAAAACATGTAACCATCAAGTGTCCACAAAAGAGCGGATCAAATTATTTTTGTTATCTAAAAAAATTTTCTATTGTACTGATGGCCATTGTTGGGCCTGATTATAAATTTTTATGTGTTGACATTGGAGGTTTTGGAAAAAATAGTGATAGTGGCATTTTTGAAGCATCTAACATGGGAATGAAATGTGAACTAGGACAAATGAATTTTCCACAAGACAAAAACTTGCCAGGTCAAACTGAACCGTGTCCTCATGTCTTTATAGGTGACGAAGCATTCGCTTTGAGACCATATTTAATGAGGCCGTTTCCCTACAGACAATCCCGATCAAATATTCGTAAAGAAAAATATAATACTCGGCTTTGTCGAGCAAGGAGAGTAGTAGAGAATGCTTTCGGTATTTTGGCTCAGAAATGGAGAATTTTTTACAGGCCTTTAGAAACCTCAGTAGGCACCACAGTAACTATTGTAAAAACAGCATGTCTTTTACATAATTATCTAATTTTAACAAACTCCGATGATCAATATTTTGAGTTTTTAGAGCCACCAGAAGATAACATAGAAGCTTTTACAAATCTTGGAAATGATCCGAGAAGAGCCTCAACCATATCATTTGAAGTACGTGAAAAATTTGTCACATTTTTTAATAATAATTAACTGATGCTTAATGTACATGTCTTTTGCTAAACACTATCTACTGAATGTAGGTAATATGTAACTCAATAGCCTAACTGTAAGATTATATCATATAAAAGAATCAAACCTAGTTATTTTAAGAAATTATTTAGTTGTACTTACCACTTTCATCCAATTCGACGCCTATTTCGTCCCAAATTTTATCGCGCTTTCTAATATTTTTATACTCAGAATTACCCAAGTCATACAGAATTGGATATTTCTTAACACTTTCGATAAGTTGCTCTGTACTCGACGGCATTGTATCACTTACTAAAGTGGCGGGAACAAAGCGGCAGCGGGAAAAATGCTGCATGCAGCGTCAACAAAATCTATCGCTGCCGTCCCGCTTTAGCCAACGCGGGAAATCGCTTTTGTTTGAATGTTGTCATATCCCGCAATGTAAGTTTGTCCCGCTACCGCTCCCGCTACCGCTCCCGCTCCCGCGGTACCGCGTTGGTCTGTGGGAGCCTTTAATCTGTACGCGTCCGTTTTAAAACTGAAATCTTTATCCAGGCCTTTTTAGTTACACCCTCTCGAAAGAAACACAGCCAACCAATCAACCCCAATTACGTCTAATTTTTGGGTCACACATGTGGGTTCTGTTTTTGCCTGCGACTGCGATAATCCCAGATTCGTTTCGCTCAAGTGTAAGTCGCCGGGCCACCTGCACCCCTGCATCGCCAGCCGTTAGTAGACGTTTGAAAGGACATAGGCCAGTTCCCAGTTTCGGGGAAATATATATTTTTACGTGCCCCAAATTAGCATGAAACTCTTAACTGCATGCTTTTACATCCCAAATATAACAAAATATGAAGAGAAACACATGTTAAGTACAAACCTATCTTACACTATAAGCCACCGATCTGGGATAGGGTTAATCCAGTTGGCGTCCTTTTGTCACTTAAGTCACAATGGCAGTCCGAACGCCGCACCAAATTTCACCACACCGGGTAGGAAATTGTTTATTCGTACACCGGACCCGTCACAAATGTCTCGGAGAGTCGATTGTCTCCTATTTACAAGGGAAAATTCCAGAAAACGCACAAGAATCAATGCCAGTAATTATCTCCCAGTGTTAACAATTGTGTAGCCTAGGTTATTTTTTGTGCTATTATTGGATACATGTATCTGTTGGACAATAAATCATTTATTTATTTATTTAATAATAATAATAATCGAGGCTTTTGCTAATACACATTGGGAATGAGTGTTACAGATCGACCTATCGAGTGGACACCATCAAGAACCAACTCTTCAGCACGAGCAGTGATGTTATCCGAAGGCCCACATGCCAGCCAGCTTGGAGTCTGAATCAAAGAACTTAGCTGAAAGACCATTCTTGGTAACACTACTAGATTGGAATAATAATAACAATCATTTACGGTAAGGGGTTGATACCTCCGAAATGTGAATGATTTCATAAATTCTTTAATTTTTTGTTTTTATTTTTAAAAATCTGTTTTCGAGTTTTATATTTTTGAGAATGATACTGGTTAAAGAGTAATGTTGTTTTAATAAACAGTGACCACGTAACTTCTATAATACTCCTTATTACCCGTTTTGAGTTATGTAATATGTAATTTTATTCTATTTTAGAACCATAATCTTATTTATAAGCACCCAAATGCGGGCTTAAATTGGCCTTTTTAGCACAAATCTGTCAAAAATTGCTAAGCAACAATTGATTGTTCATTTACACTAATCAATTAATTATTCAAACACGCTTCGATATTCAACATTTTTCTTAAGTTGGAAAAATAATATTTTATCAAATCATTACCTGACCGACTTCAAATTCTTCTAAACTTTCGTTTGAATAAACGTTTTTCGCTTCTTTAATTTACATTTTGAAAAACGAATTATCAAATAATCAACGTGGTATCCATAACAACATCAAAATAATAGCCAGCTATGTATTAAAATTCGCATCGGCACAATTCACACAGTCTTGCCGAAAATACTCAATATTTCGTTAAAAATAGTTTAGAAACTAAAATAGAATAAAACGTTGTATGTACCACGTGCATAATTGTCGATTGTGGCACTCGGGAAATTAAAAGCCCTCCTTCGTCGGGCTTTAAACATTCCCTCGTGCCACAATCTCCCTGATTATGCCCTTAATACATAAATAACTATTCTGAAGTATTGAAAAATCATTAAAATTTTAAAACCAAAATTCAAACTTTTGATCGAAAAACCATACCCAGGTAAAGTTATCAGATCTGCGGAAACATATTTTCATAAGTAAATTTACTAAGGGAATGCTGAGCGCACTTAAAGTTACTAATTTTGCTTTTCTATGTTTCAGACCTCCACCCCATTTAGCTTAAAGAAATTGGAGCAATTAACGTGATGACGACGTGATGAGCTACAAATATTTAACAGATTATAAAAATTTAAAATTAATTTGAACCCTAGTTCTGATGTAATTTTATTCCTCGTGTGATATTTTGCATTTGCAAAATTCATTATGGATCATTTTTATTGGAAAATTTTTAAGGTAAATATAATCTATTCGGCGCATGGTCTCGTCTGTAGTGGAACCGTTTAGGAGTAAATGAATTGGTATGGAGAGTTGATGAGATTTTATGTGAAGGTTCATGGCGTTTTTCGATTAGAGATAATTTAGTGCCATCTACCACTGTACAGCTAGTATAACCCAGTATTAACGAGAAGAATTTGTGACAAACAATGACATAATTATTTTTCTTCGGATTCACTCAAACTGTACCTACGGAACTAACCGAACAAGATTTCCACAAATTGCAAAAGCAAGTAGAAAAATATACCTAACTTTCAAAGAAGCATATCCGTTTTCGTTAGTATTCCATTTATAGTCGCACAAAAATCGCTAACAATTTTCGAACTTTTGCGAGTCCGGTTTTCTTCAAAATTCAGCCGAAGTTTGGGCAGTGATTCAAGGTGGAGTCGGTCGAGGACCCGACTGAATTTTGCTTCCGCTTTTATAAGACTTGGCGCATTTAAGTCGATTTATAAACTTGTTGCTGTTCGCCGTTGACGTTGCCGTTGCAAGATAAGTACGCAGCGAATGCGTCGTTTATATCATCCGTTGACGTTGCCGTTGAAAGTTGGGTTTTCATTGCGGTAGTGTGCAGTGCTGCCAACTTGAAGGAAAATCCCCTGAAGTAGAGGGGACATTTTTCTGGTTGACAGCACTAATTCCACGAAAATCAAATTTTAATCGAGATAATGAAGTATGAAAATAAAAACAGGTTAGGTATTATAACTTCAGAGGCTTACATTTTGCCCTTTTTTCTTAATATGTGTAGTCTTCTTTTTACAACAAGAAAGGTAAAACATGTTTAAAATAGGAAATTTTTGTAGGAAAGTATCGCTTTTGCAGTTAGGCTCCGCCCCTCGGTCTGACAACGAATGAAAAATGCATCACAATTGCGCGCGCGGGGAGGGGGTTAATTTTTGGCTTGTTTTTTTCTTAATATACTTAGTATTCTTTGAACTACACGATACTCACTGTTTTATTTCTTGTAGAGAAATATGGATTGTGCAATTAAGCTCCACCCTCTTGAGTCACGACGAATAAAAAAATCATCACAATTGAGATAGGGCGGGTGGGCGGGGCTACATTTTGGCTTTTTCTCTTAATATGTCTAGTCATCTTTTCACAACAAGAAACTTAAAAGATGTTTAAAATGGTATATTTTAAAAAAGCAAAATGTAAGCCCGCTCACGCGCCCTATCTCAATTGTGATTTCTTTTTATTCGCCGTACACCAAGGGGCGGAGTTTAACTGCAAAATACTTATATCTTTACAAGATATTAAAAACATATTTTTGAGTATCGGGTTGTTCAAAGAATACTATGTATTATTAAGAAACAAAGCCAACATATAAATATAGATCAGGGCAGGTATGGGTGGGACCCTAATCTTAGGCTTTATTTTTTTCTTAATATACATAGTATTCTTTGAACAACACGATACTCAAAAACATGTTTTTAATTTCTCGTAGAACAATAAGGATTTTGCAGTTAAACTTCGCCTTCTTGGCTCACGACGAATAAAAAAAATCGTCAGAATTGAGATAGGGCGGGTGGGCGGGGTACATTTTGCCTTTTTTTCTTCATAAGGCTTGTCCCAGAGAAAATTGTCGCGTATTAATTTTGCGCCAAATTTTTAAGAAAAGAGATTCTAAAAATTTTATTGGCTAGTTGTGTTCAAAAATAACTAAAGAACATGTAACAATCAACATATTAACATTAACTACGATTCATCCAGAAATTACGCACTTTTCTTTTCACTCTCTCCATTAAGTGTTGTACATCATCATCACTTAAGAGTTTTGATGTTTCTTTCCACTTTCGTTTAAAATCAGAAACTGATTTAGCATTTTTTTTATGTTTTAATAATTTCTGCTTCATTCTGGACCAGTATCTTTCAATGGGGCGCAAATGGGGACAATTGGGAGGATTCTCATTTTTTTCGATAAATTCAATTTGTCTTCTTTTTAGCCAATCTGTAACATTTCTGGCATAATGACAAGTTGCCAAGTCGGGCCAAAATAGCACGGGCTTATTATGAAGTCTTAAAAAAGGCAACAATCGTTTTTGAAGGCACTCCTTTAGGTAAATTTCCCCATTTATTGATCCTGTTGAAAAATAAGGCACACTGCGTTTGCCACACGAAGAAATGGCTTGCCACACGAGTACTTTTTTAGCGAATTTTTGAGTTTTTATTACTTTAAACTCATCGCTGATAGATTTCCTGTCTTTACCGGAATAGTAGTGATGACCGAGTAGCGATTTAAAATCCATCTTACAATATGTTTCATCGTCTAAAATGAAACAATAATTTTTTGACGTCATCAGTGAATAAAGTTTTCTCGCTCTTGACTTGGCGACGGTTTCTTGCTTGCAATTTCTGTTAGGGACTTTTGTTTTTTTAAAGGACTTTATAGAATGTTTGCTCTTAATTCTATGCACTGTTGATTTAGTAGTTCCAAATTTTTTAGCCAAATCTCTTACAGAAAGGTAAAAATCACAAATGTCTTCACCAGTTCGCGTCCGGCTTAAAACTGAAAACTGTTCTCCCGGACCTTTTTGGTAAACATCCTGATAAAACATTGAGCCACCCAGCTGGGCCAAATCACTCATCAGGGTTCACTAATGGACCCGTCAAGTGGCTATCGCCCTAAATAGCGGATTCGATATGCAAGTATAACGTCGCACCCTTGCAGTCAGATTATTAGTGTGAACGGACATTATGCCCCTTTTTTTGCGTCTGGGATATTTTTATCAGCGGTCGTAAATGCGATAAAATTCTTTAAACACAAAATATCATCGTCAATTCCCAAATTTGTAATAACGTTAATTTCTTACAACTCGGCCATCCTGCGAACAACTCGCCCCGAGTTGCCGTTGTGGTATTTAATTTGAGTGTTGATCGCCATCGGATAAAACTACCCCGTCCTCGCCACTCTCGCTATCGGTGGCGTCGGAAACGCCTCTAAGTGGGCACCAGGGTCTCATTCGATCGACAGCGATGACTCTGTCGTAGACGGCCTTATTTCTGGTCCGGTGTGATTTATTCATATACTGCACCACATATCGGTCGTTTGGCAGGATCGATTTCACCACCGTGGGTCCGCTGTAGGGTGGAATTAATTTCCGACTCGTCCCGGTCGTTGTTACGTTCTTCGCGATTAGTACGAGGTCACCTTCTTTATATTTTCTACCCTTTTTTCGTCGCTTACCGAAATTTTGTTTCTGTTGTTCTTGGCTTTGCGCAATCTTTGCCGCAGCCTCTTGTCTGGATGTAACAAGATCAGTCAAGATCGACGATATTTGCGAAACTTCATCGCGAAGCGTCATGTCGGTAGTGTTACGAGGCGAATACCCCAACAAAAGCTGGCTTGCTGTTTTGCCCGTGGATTTATTTACCACATTATTAATGGCAAATTGAACGGATCTAACTTGCTCATCCCAGCGATCTTCCTCTAACGTGGATGTGAGCAATGACGCTAAGATCGTTCGATTGAGGCGCTCAACTTGTCCATTTGCGCGTGGCGTCGCGACGGCGTTTTTAACGTGTCTAATCTGGTTTTGCTCACAAAATGCGCGGAACTGACTCGATGTGAATGCGGTACCTTGATCTGAAATGACTACTTTCGGTACTCCGTAAGTAGCGAAAATATCTTTGAAATAATCTACAACAATTTTAGTTTTTGTTGGTCTCACTGCACGGAGAAATACAAATTTAGTGAAAACGTCAATTCCAGCAAGAATATACACATTTCCCTTTCGGGACCTTGGGAACGGACCAAAATGGTCGATGTGGACGGTGTTTAGTGGTTCCGCTGTTTTCTTTATTGGATGTAGAAAACCCTCTTTCTTCCCGGACGTACGTTTATTGTATAAGCATGGTATACAACACGAAATGTATTGCTCCACGTACTTTCGCATCCTGGGAAACCAATAATGCTTTGATATGCGGTACAGTGTCTTTTCGACCGCAAAGTGACCGAAATCATCGTGGGAACAACCCACTGGATTCCTCTCGCGGTTATGCGATATACTCGTCCGTCTCTTAATGCATAGTTTTTGTATATGTCTTTCTCCTCGTCGGTTTCTGGAGGCTTAGTCAAAATTTGGTGGATGCGCCGAACTTTCTCATCCGTCAGTTGGCCCGACAACACCCAATCCGCCTTTTCAATGTGGAGTACGCTCTCCGATTTCTTCCCTTCCACCGGATTTCTGCTGAGTGCATCAGTATGCTTCATCCGGTTTCCAGGCCTGTACTGCACATCGAAAGTGAACTCCTGCAGTTGGAGCCACCACCTCGCAATCCGGGGAATGATCTGTTTCTTTGTGCTGGTGGCTTTCAGCGCGTTACAGTCCGTTACAACCGTGAAACTCAAGCCTAGCAAATATGATCGGAACTTCTTCAGACTTTCGACCACTACCAGAGTCTCCAACTCATATAAGTGATATTTTCCCTCGGCCTCGGTCGTTTGCCTGCTGAAATATGCCACAGGATGCAGGCGCTCGTCGGCCTGATATTGCAGTAAAATTCCTGCCTACCCCAGCGCGCTGGCGTCCGTGTGCACCTCTGTACGTTGTTGTGGATCGAATAGCGCTAGCGTCGGTCTCGTGACCAAACTTTCCTTCAATTTAGCAAAAGCTTCTTCCTCCAGCGTGTCCCTTTTTGTTTGCGTCTGGGATATTTTTATCAGTGCTCGTAAATGCGATAAAATTTTTTAAACACAAAATATCATCGTCAATTCTCAAAATTAGTAATAACGTAAATATCAGTCACAAACCTTTCTTACACAAGCTCTAATTTTGCCCCGCGTAGGATTTCTTTTTAATCGTAAAACCGAGAGATTTACCCAAGTTTGAGACGTAAATGTTTCGACTTTATGGGCGCTTTTAGCTTGCATTAGCTGATTCCCATGGCGTCCTCTTCGTTGCGTCAGCATGAGTCATCTTGGTTAGTAGACATCTTGCAATCTAAGATCGACACAGTTGTAAAACTGCACAAAATCAGTCGGGCCAGTCCACTTTCAAATTTTAGGGATGGGCGCACGCACCTTCAGAGGCATCCGTCATCGTTTAACTTTTCTAGCGTAAGGGCACCTGTTCAGATTATCGTGGTAGCATATTGACCAGTTCACTTAAGTTTGTTATTGTTTGCGATTAAAAAAATTGGTCTAAAGAGTTTAGACAGTACTTCCCTCGCTGTCGGAAACTTGACGACTGCATGCCTATTGTGTTTTTTTTCTCATTACATTTTTGTAGTGGGAATTTAAAAAAAAATTGCGATGACGTCATCAACATTTTTGCAAGGACACGTATATCAGTTGGGATAGATGTAGTGTAATACTAAGAATAAAATTATTATATTCTCAAATTTTCGGGAAAATGAATTGGGTCGTTTGAATATTGATTTGTAATAATCAATTAAATAACGAAACAATTTACTCACGTATACCTACGTATCAGAGACAACTGAAAATCGTGTATGTATAAACATTGTTAATTTAAGATGACAGGCGTAACAGCATACGTGAGAGCCAAACACAGAAACTGTAAACAAAACGACCGTCGGTTTTATTGCTTCGACTTCCGCTTATTATATAAAACATTGGGTTTTATTTTAATTCTTGACGGTGAAATTCACAATTGGTTGATTATAAACATGTCTATTTCACATTCGCGGAATCAAGTGAACGCATAAAACAAATGCAGGTCTGTAATGTTAAAGTCGATGTAAATAAGCGTGCTACCCTTATGTTTCAACCGAGTTTTTCCTTTAACAAATTTTGTGTCTACCAAATTGGGTTGGTTGGGGTGTAATACTAATAATAAGTGTTGCCTTTAATTTAATCAATAAAATAAATTGACTTCATTAATTTTTTTGAACCACCTCTTAAGAAAATCTAAAAAATATGAATGGAATGATAAATCACAAGTACAAACTCATCATATTTTTTGCATTTTAGATAGGATTTATTCAGCAAAATTTAAGGGTGACGTCATCAATTTTTTTAGGAGGGACGAACAAATACATTTTGAACAAAAGTTTACCATGCTTATAATAACTTTAAAATATTCCCAAGATCAAAGCATTCGGTTTTGTAATTCCTGATTAAATCGATAAAATAAATTCACGCCTTCATTAATTTTTTTGAGTCACCCTGCATATGCAAATCCAAAAATATGAATGGAATGATAAATCACAAGTACAGACTCATCATATTTTGTACATTTTAGATACGATTTATTCGGAAAACTTTTGAGCTGACGTCATCAGTTTTTTGTAGAAGATAACCAAATATATTTTGACTAAAAATTTATTATGCTCTTTATAACCTTAAAACATCTGCAAGATTTCAAAGCATTCGGTTTTGTAGTTCCTGATTAAATCAATAAAATAAATTTACGCATTCATTAATTTTTTTGAGTCACTCTGTATATGCAAATCCAAAAAATATGAATGGAGTGATAAATGACAAGTACAGGCTCATCATATTTTGTACATTTTAGATATGATTTATTCGGCAAACTTTCGAGCTGACGTCATCAAGTTTTTGGAGGGGATAAGCAAATATATTTTGACTAAACATTTATTATGCTCTTTATGACCTTAAAACATCTGCAAGATTTCAGAGCATTCGGTTTTGTAGTTCCTGATTAAATCAATAAAATATATTTACGCATTCATTAATTTTTTTGAGTCACCCTGTATATGCAAATCCAAAAAATATTAATGGAGTGATAGTTCACAAGTACAGACTCATCATATTTTGTACATTTTAGATATGATTTATTCCACAAACTTTTGAGCTGACGTCATCAAGTTTTTGGAGGGGATAAGCAAATATTTTTTGACTAAAGATTTATGATGCTCTTTATAGCCTTAAAACATCTGCAACATTTCAAAGCATTCTGGTTAGCAGATTAAAAATTAAATTTCAAAATGTTGTTTTATAATTTTGATTTTTTTTCCAAAAATCTGGACGTTTCGGGTGAAAAGTCGATTCAGAGTTGTAAACTACATGTGTAGGACTATGTTATTTTATACAATTGAAAACCCATTTACTATGTACAATTTTGAAGTGACGTCATCGCTTTAGTGGTGGGGATGATTCGACAAATTTTGGTTAGCGTTTTACCATCTACATGATATTCTTAATATAAGTACAAAATTTCACAACAATCGGTCGAGTACTTTCGGAGATTATCTGTCTAATAAAAATCCGTGACAACAGACGGACAGACGGACAGACGGACAGACGGACAGACGGACGGACAGACGGACAGACAGACGGAAATGGGAGACCTATTTCTTCGTCTTCTAGGGGTCATGAAAGATCGAGAAAACTTAAAAGTAGAGAGTCGGCCGACGGACTCGATTACAATACTTCCTTTGCTTACGCTCGGGAAGTAAAAAAACAAATGAATTTTAAAACCATCCCCCTTTTGAAGTGTGCATGTTACGCTACTGACCGACAGTCCGTTGTTAGATTCTGATGACTCACCATGTTGAACTTAAAATGATGAATCTCTAAAGGCGACGTTCTTTGTTCCGTTTTTTTTTTGGATTTATGTTTGATAACACGGATCAGTTTAAATTTAATGAACCTTAAGGTATGGTCCTTATGCCATTGTTATAACACCAAATAAGATAATAATATTAATTATAAGTTGTGTTTAAGGTTATGAAACATCTAGTTCCTGTCGTAGGCATTGTATAACCATGAAGTAAGATGTACGTAGGTTATGTACTAAATCATCTACACTACACCTACTTTGTTCTTTTCCTGGTGGTATTACAAAGGTGAGAACCAATAAAAATAATATGAAGGAGTAATTAATTACACAAAACCTAATTTATAGATTTCAACGTAATTGATGGAATCGCCCCCTTGTCAACCATAGGTTTAAAGAAACGGGACAACATGAGAAAATCAGTATCTGATTTTGACTAGTGTGACAATACAAATGTCTTAAATAACAAACGATTGTAATTTTGATTGCAAACTTGTCACTAAATATGAATTGTGAATATATGTATAATGTGAAGTTTGTGTTTTATTTTACATAAGTAATCAAAACTAATGGTTTAAGCGATGGGAAACATTCAAGTGTCCAAGTGGGCATTGATACGTTGCGTCAGTGACTTTGTATTTAAATATCTATACTCACTGGTTGCGTCTTATTTCGTTTGTGGTTAATAAATGTTTAATTGGTTGCATAAAATGTAGGACATTAAATCGAAAACTGTTAGTTTTATGGATAAACTATAAAAACTAATGTAGGTATTAACTTAAAATGACAAATAGATTATTAAATTCCCTTTTTAAATGGTTGGTCTTGTAAATAGTCAAATAGCGAGAAATCTATCGGCGTGGTGATTAACGTTAATTAAACCTGCTGTGTGTTGTTCCTCTATTCTGTTGGAAGTAACAAAAAAGTTGCAAAAATTCAATTTTCTGAATCTTGGAAAAATGCAAGCAAACTAAAATATTTTAATTATTATTTCTCAAAATGTAATACAAAATTTATATCACAATCAATCAAACCGCGCAATTTATACACGATGACTCTCCTCGACAATATTATCAGTGCTTTCGCCCACCAATCTACCTTTTATCAAACAAGTCCTCATCCCCATAACAACAAACACGACAGCAATAGCCAAATGATAACACCCATATACAATATACTGATCCCTGGGATCTAACGCAAACCCGATTCCTTCAGTAGCAACCAAAGCCGTCAAAATCGAATTAAAAACCAACGCAAAAAACGTATTAATACCAAAAATCAACCCATAACTATCCTCATCGATGGCTTTGGCAATCTGGGCACTTGCTATAGTCACCATAAAGTGATACAAAATCCCAAACACAATATAAAAAGCGTAGCACACGAAAATGGATTCCGTCTGAGAACACACAACGATGAGCGCCCCTTGAACTAAGGAAAAAACACCCAAAGTGATTTCGCCCTTCACTTCCCAGTTAAATTTCAAATATCCGGCAAGAAGCGCCCCCAGGAAGCCTAGGAGGGTGAGGATGGCTTCGACGGCACCATTGTAGGCGGCTTCGTTTGAATCTTGAATGGCGGAATACAAGGGTTGCATGTAGTTTTCGATTTGGACGTAGCCACAGGTGGAGAGAGCCCACCAAGCTGACCATTTGATAACGTGGAGGTTAGTGTAGGCGTCAACGAAGTGAGATTTCATGAGAGTGAAGGCTGAGATGATTTTTTTAGAAAAGGGTTGGTCTTTGGAGTGTTCGGAGTGAAAGTAGAGGCTTTTGTCGACGGGTGGGAGAAACAAGGCCCAAATGGTGGCGGCACTAACGGCTAAACAAGAGTTTTAATAATAAATGAGTGACTTAAGTAAGCAGACTTACCAGTAAATGTTATGTAGTTTAATTCTTTGAAGTTCATGGCGTCTGTTGAGATTAGCGTTTGGGAGGTGACACCAGAGATGGCACGCCCTGCCAAAATGGCACCTCGAGTGTGTGAGGTGACCTTTTGGTAGTGTTCAGGATCCACTTTGGCGTAGATGTAGGTGTAATAGGCGACTTCTGCGGCGCTGAACATGCCATAAAAAACCTAAGTAGGTTAAATTAGGTTAACTAATCCTTATTTGATTGCAGTGGTACCTCAAGCACTTGTAGCTCAAACAAACTCGTGGTCCATATTAACATAGCCCAGACGGCTATCCCTGACAGTCCCAAAACCACGATCAAAGGTTTGTATCTACACATATCCGTGATTAAAAACACCAGAACCAATAAGATCATGTTGCTGTAGGTTCCCACTGGATACACTTGTTTGGACACTTCATCTCCTGTTACGTTTCGCCATCGGTGGTCAATCAGATAGTCGTAGACGAAGGGTTCTGATGGTCGTATTTCTTTCAAAAATCCGAAGACGCACAGAAGGAGGGATATTTTTATCCATTGATCCATTTTGACTGTTGGGTACTGAAGGAAAATGTTTTTGAATTGATTATATATTTGGTTCTTGAGAGCGGTTTCGCAGAATTTTAGTTCAATAAAAAATCGTCTTGTTCGCACATTTTTTGCCTATTGTTTCCTCCTTGTCAACTAATAAAGCTATTTAAAAAAAAGTTATCTGCTCAATTAAGTGGCTTTTTTTACTCAAGTACTCACCTTTTTTGTGTTCAGATCTCTTTTTAGTTTCACGATATAATCTCATAGTATTTGGTTAATAAGACACTATTGAAATACTAAGTAATTTCTGCAGAGACCTCCATAAAAAACTAAAACACTTTAAATGCACAAACAATGAAAATTAATTAAAATGAAGGTTGCTCTACCAATGTTAGATAAAGCACTACATTAGTGAAATCATTGTTAGACAGATTATGTGATATGAAATTGAGTAATTATGTTTTTATGGTACTTTGAGATTTGAGAAAATGATAAAATAACAAATTATTTATCAGTAAGTGTATTTAAAAAACCGGAATGGAGAAAAACATGCTGCGAAATTCTGTGCACAAGTATTACTGACTGTGAACGTGGTGACCCTAAAACGATATTGAAATTATTGCAAACAAGTCATATGGAATTCCCTAGTGTCATTAGCTTCGGTAAATGTCGTTTGATCCCGTGAAGTCGAGTCTATTAATTAAACTGGTAATCTATGTCACCGTAATCCGAATCACTATCAGAGTGCACAGATACATATAATAATACGAATAAAAATTTTAATTCGTTAATAAAGAGCGAAATTCTTTATTTTGATGTATTCAGTAAGTTGGTTAATTGGTTTACAGCTTTTTATTTATGTTTGTCCAAATAAACAACAGAAACTAAAAATCCCAAAATTTGACTGTTTTAAAATAAATCCTACCATAAACACAGTATTACTTAACGCATACACTCCTATTTATTACTGTAGTATTGGGAATTTAAAGTACCCGGATCATAAATAGCTCTTGCGTGGAGTAGTTTTGCCGGTATTTCTTTAACATTGGTTTAATGGATCACGATCCCTCCTGTCATTCTACCTCAATGATATGTATGTAGTATTAACCAAAGAATTTTTGTTATTACTATTTTTATTTTATTTATTTTTACTGATGTGAGTGTTCCTGGTAAACAAATTAAATACATTTACTTTTTATAAACATCTTTAATGAATAATATTAACAATGTCATGTCGAGAGTTCCAGCATAAAATATAAATGTAAAAATTTGACATGGAATATTCAAAATATGCAAACAAACTTATTTGACAGGAGGTTTTAAATATATTAAAGATACTGACGTTGCCAAGTTGTATACCACACCTTAAAATAAAAGTATATGCAACCAACAATACTTTGAAAATTGAAAATGATTTTTTACATTTTGTTTCACCTAAGGGGGGTTCTAGAAACAAAAGATGTGAGACGTATAGCGTCGTTTAATTAATGCCAAAATTTGTGCAATGGCAGTACCATTCTTACATGTAAACAATTAATGACAATGACATTTATACAGAATGTCCATTTTATCTGCTCACGCTTGAGTATTTCTGCATAAGCAACCCATTTTACGTTTAATAAACAGCTTTGATAAATTTTTAAAAGAGTTTACATTATGTTCAATTATGCCACACTTTATCAACGATTCATACAATGAATTTATTTGATGTTACATTATGCTATGATTCAAGTGGTTGGTTACTTAAAACAATTTCTTTTGAGGGTTTATATCTTGGATTGTTTATCCCAAGCAAAACACATGATAAATAAACACAAAATGCATCAGGCGTTGCGAGGAAAGCTCCTCAATGGTGTAATTATCCAGCGTTGCGAGAAATAAAATGTCGCAGTGATTTAATTTGCAACGTTGCGAGGAAAATGCGTCTCGGTGATGTGATGATGATAACGATGATAACTGCATAAGGAAAGAAGTCTTTGATCCCCCCGTCAGTCCACGATATTACATTATGAATTCTGCTGCACTTTTCTGCGGTCTTTTACCACAGGGGGGCAACGTTAGGGTAATTTAACTCCCGTAAATGAACTATTAGCAATTGTGAAAAATTAAGAAGTGTTATAATGTAGCACTTAAGTACTAGCATCCAGAAACTCATTCTTACTTTGTTAAACCAAAGACTGAATTCTGACTAAGTGAATTTCATGAAATCTCCTAGTGAGTGTTTATTTAAATAAATCTAAAGTCTGTTAAATTGCGTTAGCACCAGTTAACGATTCAAATCCTAACATGAATTGTGAATTGACAAACAATGAATTAAAGCCGCAAGAATTAGCTACAGGCGGCGGCGTCGTAGCGCGAGTAGAGGTTGGGACTCCTGATCGTCACTGTTCTCCCCCACGACGGTGATTCTATCTATCACAAAGCCTGCCCGCACGCATATCTCCATTACGAACGTGCCCTGCGAAACTAGGCCGTTACGATCGCAGATCCGTAGTTGGGTCTCGACTATTGGTCCAAATCGACAGCGTTACAAACCCGCGATCGCCTCCTGACGCTATACAAACCCACGGACTTGTGCAGGTGACGCGATCAATCCAGTCAGTTTGAGAAGGAGTCGCGCGCCCGCCGTACATTACGAGTTATGTGTTATTTGACTTCAATTCCATTTAAATGTTCAATCTCTATGACAACTATTAAATTACAACCGAACAAGTGTTAAAGCTTCAGCAAAGGAGAAATAAACAACATTTAAACTCGCCATACACTCTTACGAAAATTCAAAAACAAATAATTTTTAATTGAGATAAAAATTGGACAACTAGCAAAGATTTATAAAACAAAGATCTGATGTAAAATAAACTGATGCAAATAAAATATTACTTGAGGTTTAAAACTGCAGAGCCTGGAAATTTAAGTTCAATTCAAATTATACAACAAGGAAAATTACTGAGGCTAAAATTGTGAGATTGCTAGGTTTTCCAATGGAACAGAATCGACACTCGAAAATAAAAAACAACAGCAAAGGCACAGAATCTCACAGTTAAAAATACAACCTGTTGCTCGAAGCGGTCAAAAGGAAGTGCCGCGCTTTCACAAGGGATGATGTCACCCCCGTTTTTGCGCGCATGTCCCTCTTTCTTGGTGTGGTTGTTCTTTGTTGCCAACCTCTTCTTCTTACCAACCTTGCCTTGTCGATCACATGTATTTTTGCCTCCGGTCGGCAGTGGCGAAATCTCGTACAAACTGAACTGTTTTTTATTGACTCAAGGGGCTAGGAAGGTCTTCTGCAAGACGCAATAAGAGATTCACTCATATTTTTGGCAACTAGTTGATGGAAGGCGTGAACTAAGTAAAGAGCAGCTTTGTTGTTGACCTGGATTAGGAGTGACCCCATGATCAACTGGGGAATGTAATAGTTCTGACGGAATGTTTGGTTAAAATAGGAGATACTTTAGTATCTCTAACGTAGCTAGTTGATGGAAGGGGTACACGATTTTGCTGTTGGTCAGGGAAAGAAGTGACCATACAATCAACTGGTGTGGGTAAGATTACTGTGGGAGACTCTGTGCCTTCCGCTGCGTCAGATTGTAAAATAGTAGATGGTGCAAAGTCATGATCTTGGAATTTATGACGGTTTACTGACCAAATTCCTGCTCCCATGAAGGCTCCTGCTGCAGTTCCAACAGTGCAACTGCCACACTCTAAACAGATATCGGAGTTCCAGGTTAACCACGCATCCATGATTCTTGGGCTTGCTCATAATAATTCTGCAAGGGTTTAAAGAAAGCCACATCTAAAGGCTGAAGTCGATGAGTAGTATGACCTGGCAATTGGAGCAAATGGATATAATTTTCTTTTGCGAACTGCAAAGCCTCTAAATTTTTGCCGTGCCTACAATGTCCATCTAATAAAAACAAGACGGGTTTCTCAGGACCGGATTTAACTATTGAACTGGCAGAAATTTCGTAAATACTACCTGTAGGAGCCCCAATTCCTAGTTCTGGAGCACGTCGCTTTCTTTTAAAAATGATCATCGGTGGAATGTAAAGGTCTGGTGTATTTACGCAGCACACTACCTTAGTAAGCACTCCTCTTTCTCCACTAGTGATTCCCCCAACCTGTCTTTTACCACGTTGGGCAATGATTTTTTGTTTTCTTTTTTGAACCGTACTATAACCTGATTCATCTACGTTGAAAATGGTGTTTGATGTAATTTTATATTTATCCAGAAGTTGCTCTAAAATATAAAAAAGTTCCATGTAAGTAACCAGTCACTTGTATCAAGGCATCATTTAACATAATGTAAATTCTTTGTTTGAATCGTTGACAAAGTGTGGCATAATTTAACATAATGTAAATTCTTTGTTCTGGCAACGGCCATGTCGAAAGAGTATTTTCAGACCGAGTACATGTTGAACTGTAAAAGCTCGTTGAACAAATTAACAACATCGTGGGTCATGTGGAACGTGCATTTTATTCCTTTGATTTAGACCATTATTTGCGCAGCGCCACAGGATTGATTACATTTCTGGAAAACATATTTTTGACGCATTTTTTTTAACGACGCATTCGTCTGACACCATTTTGAACCTCCAGATTGCCTGCTATGTTTTTTGTGTGTTTGTTGGAGGAAATCTAGACGACGACCCATAATGCAACTGAATAACCTCACTTTTTAAAAATTAACCGTTAATTCACATGGACATAAAATAATAATAAACTCATGTCATTTTGTTAGCTTTGCAATTTTTCACCTCATGCAGTTTTTCTCTATCTCACGATTTTACCGTCAGTAATTTCTTTGCTATAATTTAAGTTGAACGTAAATTTTCATGCTCTGCAGTTGTAACCTCACGTAAGTTTTTTATCTGCACAAGTTTTACTTCGAACCAGATTTTTTTTTGTTTTATGAATCTTTATAGTTTTCTTCTTGTACATATTTTGTTGCTTTCATCATATAATTGTCTGATGTCCCATCTTAGTCTCAGCTAAGAATTCTTTGCTCTTTAAAATCTCACGAGGGTGTATGACGAATTTAAATGTTGTTTATTGCTCCTTTTGAAACTTTAACACTTGTTCAGTTGAGAAACACGTGGTGGAAGCGGAGTGCGCGGTTCCTTGTTGAGCTGGCGGGCGCGCCATCTGCACAAAGGATACAGGCCTAGAGTAGAAGTCAGGGGCAGTCGGGATGACGTGACAAATTATCAGGAACTCGTTGAATGTATTCATTTCCGTAGCAACAAGGTAAAAAATTTGTTTACAGATGAAGTTTTCTAAAAAGTAGTTGTTCAAAGTGAAAAATGAGTGATTCAAGTCATTTAAAGGCAATAGAAGAACGTTATAATCAAATTTACAAAGCATTTTCAAATTGGTATACATCATGAAACATTCAAGATGTTAATGAAGCCGTAATGCTTGGATATTTTATGGAAAGGTCCAAAGCCCTCAAGTCACTTAGCAGTTTATGGTGTGAATATTCAGTGCTGAAATTAACGTCGTGTGAGTTCTTCTGTTGATACCTCAATTATAAAAGAAAATGGTGGAGGCACAACTCATGCAGTTGATGAAAATATGACAGTTACTAATTTTGAAATAACTTCAAAGAATAATCCTTTAATAAATATTACTGAGTGTAGTGTTACAGTTAATATTAATAAATAATTACAAAAGGAACTTCAAAAAAAAAAAACTTGCTGTAAAATGAAATTATTGACATTTCATTGACATTCTCCTTCTTCCATTACTTTTTTGTCCTGGCACCGTAAGTAACACTTCGCCCTTAATAACCTACTTACGGAGCTAGCAACGTTGCAGTGTCACTGGAGCAATACGATTCATTTACACTATCGGTAGCAGAAAAAATTATTTTCAAAAAGACGGTATTTTGCTTAAAACTTAGGTACACATAGCTGAATTCTTTAACAGGTTACACTTAGAGTTATATTTTTTATGTAAAAAATTGATCTAAGGAGTTTAGACAGTACTTCCCTCGCTGTCGGAAACTTGACGACTGCATGCCTATTGTGTTTTTTTTTCTCATTACATTTTTGTAGTGGGAATTTAAAAAAAAATTGTGATGACGTCATCAACATTTTTGCAAGGACACGTATATCAGTTGGGATAGATGTAGTGTAATACTAAGAATAAAATTATTGTATTCCCAAATTTTCGGGAAAATGAATTGGGTCGTTTTGAATATTGATGTCTTATAATCAATAAAATAACGAAACAATTTATTCACGTATACGGCGCCGGTGTGTAATATCTAGAGAGCGGATTTCTGTCGGGCTAGGCAAGGCCAAACTCGGTACGGCTCGTACGGGATGCGAATTCATTGCGGTTGCGGACTGCACTTCGTTTATTTGAGATTAGAATAACGCTGTTTCGTTGCACTCTGCTGTTAATTCCCGTTCTCATTTACTTAGCCGTTTGATTAATAAATCGTTAATTATATTTATGGAATTAGTACTGATTAAATTCAGTGATTATCTATCACCCGCTACTGAGTCCCGGCGATCCAGCGCGTCCCCACCTATAATCGTGACGTAGCCCGACAGAAATCCGCTGTCTAGTAATATGAAAGGCAACTGAAAATCGTTTATGTATAAACATTCTTAATTTAAGATGACAAGCGTAACAGCATACGTGAGAGTCAAACAGAGAAACTGTAAACAAAACGACCATCGGTTTTATTGCTTCGACTTCCGCTTATTATATAAAACATTGGGTTTTATTTTAATTCTTGACGGTGAAATTCACAATTGGTTGATTATAAACATGTCTATTTCACATTCGCGGAACCAAGTGAGCGCATTAAACAAATGCAGGTCTGTAATGTTAAAGTCGATGTAAATAAGCGTGCTACCCTTATGTTTCAACCGAGTTTTTCCTTTAACCAATTTTGTGTCTACCAAATTGGGTTGATTGGGGTGTAATACTAATAATAAGTGTTGCCTTTAATTTAATCAATAAAATAAATTGACTTCATTAATTTTTTTGAACCACCTCTTAAGAAAATCTAAAAAATATGAATGGAATGATAAATCACAAGTACAAACTCAGCATATTTTTTGCATTTTAGATAGGATTTATTCAGCAAAATTTTGTGGTGACGTCATAAATTTTTTAGGGGGGACGACCAAATACATTTTGATCAAAAATTTACCATGCCTATGATAATTTTAAAATATCTTCAAGATTTCGAAGCATTCGGTTTTGTAGTTCCTGAGTAAATCAGTAAAATAAATTTACGCTTTCATTTATTTTCTTGAATCACCCTGTATATGCAAATGAAAAAAATATGAATGGAGTGATAGATCACAAGTACAGACTGATCATATTTTGTACATTTTAGATATGATTTATTCGGCAAATTTTCGAGCTGACGTCATCAAGTTTTTGGAGGGGATAAGCAAATATATTTTGACTAAACATTTATTATGCTCTTTATAACCTTAAAACATCTGCAAGATTTCAGAGCATTCGGTTTTGTAGTTCCTGATTAAATCAATAAAATATATTTACGCATTAATTAATTTTTTTGAGTCACCCTGTATATGCAAATCCAAAAAATATGAATGGAGTGATAAATTACAAGTACAGACTCATCATATTTTCACAGTTTAGATAGGATTTATTCGGCAAACTTTCGAGCTGACGACATCAATTTTTTGGAGGGGATAAGCAAATATATTTTGACTAAACATTTATTATGCTCTTTATAACCTTAAGACATCTGCAGGATTTCAAAGCATTCGGTTTTGTAGTTTCTGAGTAAATCAGTAAAATAAGTTTATGCATTCATTAATTTTTTTGAGTCACCCTGTATATGCAAATCCAAAAAATATGAATGGAGTGATAGATCACAAGTACAGACTCATCATATTTTGTACATTTTAGATATGATTTATTCCACAAACTTTTGAGCTGACGTCATCAAGTTTTTGGAGGGGATAAGCAAATATTTTTTGACTAAAGATTTATGATGCTCTTTATAGCCTTAAAACATCTGCAACATTTCAAAGCATTCTGGTTAGCAGATTAAAAATTAAATTTCAAAATGTTGTTTTATAATTTTGATTTTTTTTCCAAAAATCTGGACGTTTCGGGTGAAAAGTCGATTCGGAGTTGTAAACTACATGTGTAGGACTATGTTATTTTATACAATTGAAAACCCATTTACCACGTACAATTTTGAAGTGACGTCATCGCATTAGTGGTGGGGATGATTAGACAAATTTTGGTTAGCGTTTTACCATCTATATGATATTCTTAATATAAGTACAAAATTTCACAACAATCGGTCGAGTACTTTCGGAGATTATCTGTCTAATAAAAATTCAGGACGGCAGACGGACAGACGGACAGACGGACGGACAGACGGACAGACAGACGGAAATGGGAGACCTATTTCTTCGTCTTCTAGGGGTCATGAAAGATCGAGAAAACGTAAAAGTAGAGAGTCGGCCGACGGACTCGATTACAATACTTCCTTTGCTTACGCTCGGAAAGTAAAATGAAGAAAAATTATGTAAGGCGGGTTTTTTGATTAACAATTTATTATTATTTATATTATACGTGCGTCATATTTGTAATGCACTACATTAAGCTCTCCCCTTCAATTAAAAGCATACCGTTTACAGAATTTCAAAATTTCTACCCGTTTTTCAGAGAAAGACCGCCAGAACACCTGTATAGTATGTAATGTTAGTATTTATTATTAATTAATTAACCGCAATGGTTAACTAGTATAGCTTTTTAGATGGTTACGATCTTAAGTATCCACAACGGCTGCACTTTTTCTTGCGCATGTCGAGGCAGCAAATAATTCCACACGGGAAACAACCTATGGCGTAAAGCCAGCCCTTTAAGGTGAATGTGCGTTTTAATGTTTCCCGGTCGCATGAAGGGCAAGTTCTGCTAGTTGTAACGGTAAATTGCTCCACACCTGCAAAACAAAAAATTAAAGGCTATTATTCTAAATATTTTGGTTACTACTTCTACTATAGATTACCCATAGCATGTATAAAAATAAAATAGTTTTAATTTGTGCACAAAACAAACAACGTAAAGAACTTTCAACAAACAATTCAAATAAAGATTCTTCGCAAAAAGCTACTTACGAGGCGCCGAGTTAACTGCTGGCCTTGAAGCCACGGATGGCTGGTGTTGAGGATGTTGCCGACATTGAAAATTTGAGTGAAGTCCAGGATTTGATCGATGTTGTCGAGGTTGCAAATTTGGTTGGGTTTTCAAATGTGGCTGACAATTAGATTGACGACGGCCACTTGGTGGTATATTGTGGTTTCTCGTTTTTGAACCGTCGTCACCTAAGTGTACAAACAGATAAACATTTTTAGTCGCTTTTAGTAACGTGATCATTTTGGTACCTCCTACTTAAAAATTTTCAAATAGTCGAACTTATGAACCAAGTCAAATCACATTTTCTATTAATCCCAGACTGATTGACGTAAAAAAACTTTAAATAAACAATTCAAAGAAAAATTCTTCGTTAAAAACCACTTACGAAGCTGTACGACATACGGCGATGAGTTAACTGCTGGTCTTGAAGGCACGGACGACTGATGTTGAGAATATCGACGAGGTTGGAAATTTGGTTGAGGCCGAAAATCTGGTTGAAGTTGAAAATTTGGGTGAAGTTGTAGATTTGATTGCTGTTGCCGTCGTTGCAAATTTAGTTTAGGTTGAAAATTTGGTTGGGGTTTCAAGTATGGTTGATAATTGGATTGGTGACCGCGACTTGGTGGTTTTTCATGTGGTACCGTTATTGAGGCCTGCTCGATCTTGTAGTTGTAGATATTGTCATCGTCCTCGCTGTCATCGTCGTCGTCCTCACTGCTATCGTCGTCGTCTTGACTGCTATCGTCGTCGTCCTCACTGTCGTCGTCGTCTTCATCTACAGGTACATACAAATTTGGTTAGGCTTTCACCATCTAACTTAATTAAGATTAATAAATAGATCGTACGAATGGGATGTACCTAAGCTAAGACTCATTCCATTGTTTTTTATGACAAGCCGCCTTAATCTTTTTGAAATTTGGGCTGTCAATAGGAATACTCAAGTTCTGTTTTCGGCAATTTTTTCAAATTTATACTTGTTTTTGAAATACAGGGATAACTTGATTTGTTTTAAACAGCATCAGTTTTTAAATAGTGGATTTTTTTCTGAATTTGGAAATGAAACGCATGCATTATTTTATTTTTTCCAACATGGTAAAATAAATTGTCAAAATAAAAATACTGAAAATCAGACAATCGTAGCTAGCCTTGACAATACTATCACCATCACCCGTAATAATCTTGGCATAGAACATACAAAAATTATCCTACTGTTCAAGACTGAAATAAAGGTCCCAGCGTAGCAGTTTGATCTTTTTTTTTCAAAATTTAAGCAAATTTCAAGGTCGACAACTTACCAGTGCAGTTAGCGGAGATCACAACCCTCGCAAAACTGTAGGGTCGCGGACGTTACAGTAAACAACACGTTTTGTTGTACATCTGTATTGTACTCGTCTATAATATTGTAAACAAAAGAAAATGTAACTAAATAATATGTTATATTACAGAAAACACAGAATTTATATTGCTTTCACTCTCATGTTTCAACACTGCTGCTGTACTTAGCAAGGATTTTAGAGCCGTTTGCATTGAGGGCTTAATGCTGATTGTTGTTGACATTAAATGCCAAATGAAAAAGTGACAAGCTGACAAGTTATTAGAAAAACATTTCTGCCCACCCACCCCCTGTTCATTCCAGTGACTGATTATTCTTAATATTGTTGACCCTTGTCCCTTTATTTTGGCAAGTTTTAGCCCCGTTCACCCTTTATCTTCCTAGAGGATATGTTGTCATTTACTGAAATGAAAAACTGAAAAATTGCAAGCCAAAAAATTCAAGAAACGAAAAATTGAAAAAATAAAGTAAACCGAAACGAAAAATTGCAAATCGAAAATTTTAACAAATGGAAAAGTAAAGAATCGAAAAATTGAAAAATCAAAAATTGAAAACTAATGAAGTTGCAAATCGAAATATAGAAAGTAGTAGCCCCGCCCACCCACCCCATCCTAATTCCAGGGACAACTCTTAATATTGTTGAGTCTTATCTTAGCAAGTTTTAGTCCCGCCCACTGGCGTTGTTCTCATTTTAACGATTTTATTTTTGATGAATCTACGATCCACCTTTCATTCTGACCGGATCAAATGAATCACTGAAATGGAGGCGGGGTGGTAATAGAACGTCGACTGATAAAAAGAAAGAAAAAAAAGTATTAATCGTAATTTTTTGTTATACTATTTACTATAAGATTTATTTTTTATATAAGAAGAAAAAAGTGAGAGAACGGGTGGGTGGGCGGGGCTAACTTTTTATTTCAGTCTTTATAAGCAAGCAATAGGCCCGCCCACCTACCCTCTCTTCATGTGATTACTTTTAAAATTGTCGTTTACAAAAATCAGTCTTATGTTAACAAATGCTAGTCCCGCCCACCCACCCTCTACTTTCTTAGAGGGTATGTAATTTGCCATAATCGGTCTTATCCTAGCAAGCACTGACCTGACCTGACCTGAAAAAAATTGAAAACTCGTGAAATTTTAAACAATCAATAAATTTACTAACTTCGCCACATGATTGAAAAATCGAATAATTGAAAAAATAAAGAAAATAAAATACCGAAAAATTTTTGAAAGAAGCAGGATTTGTTGGGCTACTCATCAGGGGCGAGGAAAGTTCTATGGAAATAAGCCCCGACTAATTTTGTATTTAGTTTCTTTCATCAAAAAAATAAATAAATAAATAAATAAAATAAAGATGAAAATTCTAAGGGTTATATATCGTAAAAATGGAAGAAACAAAAAAACTGAAAAATTGAAAATTGCAATTTGAAAAATTTAAGAAACAAAAATCGAAATTGAAAAATTAAAAACTCGTGAAACTGTAAATGGAAAATTTGCAAAATCTGAAACCTTAAACATCGAAAAGTTGGAAAATCGAAAAATTGAAAAGTTTTAAAATTAAAACTCGAAGAGTCGCATATCGTAAAAGTGAAGAAACAAAATAAAATGAAAAACTGAAAAATTGCAAACCGAAAAATTGAAGGAAAGAAAAATTTGAGTAACACGAAACTAAAAATTTTAAATTGAAAAAACGAAAAATTAAAAAATCTAAAAATTGAAAAATTTCACATTGAAAAAAGAAATATAAAATCAGAACATCGAAAAACCGAAAAACTGAAAAATGAAGAAAATAAAAAACCGACACGATATATTTCAAAACGAAAATTTGAAGAAATGGAAAATTAAAGAATCGAAAAATTGAAAAATCAAAAAAGAAAACTCCTGAAATTGCAAATCGAAACATAGAAAGTAGTAGCCCAGCCCACCCACCCCCTCTTTATTCCAATGACACTTCTTAATATTATTGAGTCTTATCTTATCAAGTTTTAGCCCCGCCCAACCACCCTTTATTTGCTTAGAGGGTATGTCATTTACCAAAATCAGTTCTATCTTAGCAGGTATTAACTCCGCCTCCGGACAGAGTGGGCGGGGTTAATTATGTTTTTTTTTAGATTGGGAATAGGAACTAATAGGACGTAGGCTGTTAAAAAATGAAAAAAGCGCTAATCGTATTTTTTTTGTTATATAATCTGCTGTAAGACTTATTTCTTATTTCAGATGAAAAAATGAGAGAACGGGAGGATGGGTGGAGCTAAGTTTAACTTTTTCCTATAGGGTGTTTTATAAGCAAGCAATAGCCTTGCCCACCTACCCCCCCTTCATTCGAGTGATTACTTCTAAAATTGTCGTTTACCAAAATTAGTCTTACGTTAAAAAATACTAGCCCCGCCCACCCACCCTCTATTTTCTTAGAGGGTATGTAATTTGCCACATCAGTCTTGTCCTAGCAAGCACTGACCTGACCTGACCTGAAAAAAATTGAAAACTCGTGAAATTTTAAATCGAAAAAAATAGGAAAGGAAAAATTGAAAAAAAAATCATAAAATCGAAACACCTACACCCATTATCACATGAATAATAAGAAATGGGGTGAGTGGGCAGGGATTTGTATTTTGCCTTTTTTCATAATATACATATCATTCTTTGAACAACACAATACTCCAAAAGATGTTTTTAATTTCTTGTAAAGAAATAAGTATTTTGCAGTTAAGCTCCGCCCTCTTGGTTCACGGCGAATAAAAAAAATCATCATAATTGAGATTGGGCGGGTGGGAGAGCTTACATTTTGCCCTTTTGTTTTAATATTTGTAGACTTTTTTCACAACATGAAACTTCAACCATGTTTAAAATGGAACAATGTAAATATCGATTTTGCAATTAGGCTCCGTCCCATAATTGCAAAATCCATATTTCCGTGTGAAAATGTACCATTTTAACCATGTTTTAAGTTTCTTGTCAACGGCAACGTAACGGCGAAAGTTAAAAGTTGGTCATCTCAAACGTCACCCCAATAGCGTGCGAACTTTCAATGGCCACGTCAACGGATGATGTAAACGACGCATACCTTCGCTGCGTATTTACAATGGCAACGTCAAAGGCGAACAGCAGCGTCAGCGGCAAGTTTATAAATCGACCTTTACATCTAACATGATATTAAAGAGTTCCTCATTTGTAACATTTTTTCGTCTTCCGGTTCTCAATATTTTCAAAGCTAATTATAATTTTCTATTTTAGAATTTATTCATAATAAATAATTTATTATTTTATTTACCGTTTTAGTTAAAAAAGTGTATGCATATGTTACAGTTCTGAATTAAAAAAAAAATCGTTCTTTCCTTAGTATTTTTAAGTAGGTATAGACCAAATTTCAAGAAGATTCAACTAACCATCTATAGTTTTTAATGAGATCTATAAAAAATGAGATTTTAGACAACTGACAGTGAAATGATACTAGTGTCCGAAATTTATTGACTGGCAATGTTGTAGGTAATGTAAAAAAAAAATGGCGGCCGTCGAGTAAGAAACCTCGTACCATCTATTTATTTATTAAAAATATCACGACCCCCTCAGATAGCAGATGTTTGTTAATTTCTTACGAAAGAGGAAATTTTTACCTTTCAGTTTATTATTAGTGATGATGTCACCGGTCTACGGAGGTCTACGGAGTTGAATATTTACTATATCCAGTATAAAGGATTAGCGCAACAAAGTTACTATCACGTCATCATCAACAGGCAAGCAAGTTCTGTTATTCTTTCGTCTTCTAATAATAATCTTAAGGTTTCATTAAAAAAATAGACGGAAGTTATAGGTAAACAATTCAGAGGTGAAGGAAGTTCTGTCTAAATAATCTTAGACTAAAACATGACGCAAGAAGTTTTTCAAAAAGTACTTACACGGTGTAGTTCTTAGTTGCGAAGCCATGGGTAACTTGTTTTGAAAATATTGGTGTAGTTGAAAATGTTCCTCCGTTAAGTCAATGTTCTTGTCGTTGTAGTGGTGGTGGGGCAACGGCACATGCCTTCAACTACTACATTTTAGCAGACGAGGGGTGTATTATGTACCAAACGCAGTTTGCTACTGTTACTCACACCTGATAAGACGTATGTGTATAAATGTTATTAACAAAATTACACAATATTTAGGCATCCGCTGCATGGAATGTAATGTAATATAATTATATTTATGTTCTGTAAATCAGAAACATAGCTACATAAAATAATGTTTGAATTTGAAAGAAAAATGGAGAATTTGAAAAATTCTACAAAGAAAAAAGCGAGTTCAAAATGGGGGCAAGTTTTACAGCAAAGATATAAAATTAAATGGTGTTTGGATGTGAATCACACTTCAACAACAAATAAAATCTAGTTCAACAAGATAAAGTCTAGTCAAGCAGTTCCCAAAGTGTGGAACTGTAAGGTCATGAGAGAACAGAAACGAATATATTAACATTTTTAAATAAGTAATGTTTTTCCTTTGATGGAATTTATTTAGATGACACTTTTCCAGTATTCTGTCATTGCCTTGGTACTCTCGCTGCGTTTGTATAGAAAATGTTATAAATTGGGCGAAATCAGAAACATTGTCTTTCTGTAGGGAATAAGTTTAAATCTTGTTCAATTTATATATTTACATTAAGGTAAGGTTCCATCTTTAAAAATGGTGGTCTGTGTATTTTTAAATATAGTATTTTTTACACAAAAATGCGACAATCTTAGAAATTCTTTCATCAAGACTACGAACCTGTGCCAATATGATAACGTGTTAAAATCTAAACTTAATCAAAACGTTTAACTAGTTAGTAGAAAAAGTTTAATATGTATAAAATAATATGTAAAGGAAGAAATTTGTTGCACTTTTCAGTTTCGTGGTAAATGTCCACAGTTGTCGCACTTTTTCTTGCGCATGAGGTAGCAACAAATAAATCCGTATGGGAAACAAAAAATGCAGAAAAGCCAGCCCGTCAGCGTAAACTCCTTTACAATTTTTCCCGTGTGGCATACTGGACAAGTTGGAGCATCTGCATCTGCAAAACAAAAAGGGAAACTGTTAGGACAAAACTGGGTACAACTCTACAAAAAAATAAATACGTAAATAAATCTGTGTTCTTCAATTGAAATAGCTATTAACATACCTAGGAATGTTATGGTTTTTATTACAGAGGATTTTAAAGCATCTGAGGCTGTTATGGGCTACAACATCCGTCATCTGTTCAATAGTTTATCGGTTTCATAAATTTTAATACTTTCTAAAATTGGGGCTATTTTACCTGAAAATTTGGTGAAAAGTGTTGAAGAAGTTCTTCAAGCTCTTATTCCAACCAAGTCGAAAGTAATGTACGAAAAATGTTATAGTGACTTCCAACATTTGCACCAAATTAATAATTGTGCAGAAATAGTTAATGAAAAGGTTCTGGCGTATTTTCAACAGCTTGTAAGTTTTTAAGACCCACCACTGACCCTGAAATGACGGGCATTCAGGCAAGACTTCTATCATTACGGGTACTAAGACCAAGTAATGATGTGCATTGATTAAATTAACAGAACAACTTTCGAGATTCTAGAATTACAGCATACAAATTAGTCTGCTATTATTTTCTAATCTCACCCCATCCCCAAAAGTCTAGCGTAACTACCGACCATTTATCCGCGCATCACTTGGAAAGTGACCTACACTACTCTGGCCTACTGGTGCTAATCTAATCTGACTGACATGATCAGACTGTTCAAGAAACTTACGAACAATATGACATGTTCCTAACAAAACAGCTTTTTGAATTTTGATAATTATTGAATCATTCAAATGCAAAGACTTTAAATTCTCAACTAAGCTATTTGGAACTACACCTACATTAGAGATAACTAGGGGTAGAATTGAAATTTTTTTAAGATTCAACATGGATTTCATTTCTATCGATAATTGTAGATATTTTGAAATCTTGGTGTGGTATGTTTGAATAATGTTGTTTGTGTTAGGAACAGCAATGTCAATGAGAATGGCTTCGTTCGTGTATTTTTTGATAAGTATGATGTCTGGTCTGTTAGCTGTAATGTTTAAGTCTGTAAGTATTGTGCGATCCCAGTATAATTTGTATTTGTTATTTTCAAGGAACGGAGATGGAATGTAAGTGTAATACGGTGTCGTATCTTCGATTAAGTTCATAAGTGTTGCTAATTCTTTGTGGATGATTTTGGCGACGTTGTCGTGTCTAGCTTTGTAGTCAATTTGTGCTAGGATGCTGCAAGAAGAGATTATGTGCTGGATCGTTTCAGGTTTTGCTTTGCAGAGACGACAGCAGTCGTTTTTTATGTTCGGATCTTTGATGATGTATTTTTTGTAATTCTTGGTATTGATTACTTGGTCTTGAATAGCAAACACAAATCCTTCTGTTTCGGCATACAAACCTGATTTTTTTAACCAAATCAATGACATCTTCTTATTGACATGAGTTTCTTCTAAGTCTTTGTAGAATTTTCCATGTAGTTGTTTTTGTTTTAGTCCACTTATTATTTTATCTATTGTGTGGGGGGTGTGGATTTCTTCGGTGTTCGACAGATTTAAGGGTGTGTGGTTCAAATCTGCTCTTGTGATGGTACGAAACATTTCATTTCTTTCTGCTCGTTTCAAAAAATACTTCTTCAAATCTGAGATTTGTCTCTGACATAAGTTTTCTAGTTTCTGGAAACTTCTTCCTCCATTCTGTCTTGGTAATGAGAATCTTTCAATCGACGATTTTGGATGATGCCTTCTATACTGTGTGAAGATTTTCCTTGTTGCGATGTTTAAATTTTCAAGATCAGTTTTGGACCATTTAATGACTCCAAAAGAATATGTTAGCAGTGGAACGCAGAATGTATTTACTGCTTTCATTAAATTTTTTCCATTTAACTGTGTCTTCAATATTAATTTTAATCTCGCTAGGTATTGATCTTTCAACTGTGTTTTCGTTTTGGTATGATTGATGTGGGATGATTGACAGAAACCCAGATATTTGTATGTATCGTCTCGTTCTTGGGCTTCGATTATTTCGTTATTCTGGGTTATATGTGGTACTTGGTGTTGGACGCCTTTTTTTATTGCTTGGGTCTTACATTTCTCAATACCAAAAGACATACCAATATCACCGGAAAATTGTTCAGTGAGATTTAATAAGTTTGTTAACTGATTTTGTGTACTTGCATATGTTTTTATGTCATCCATATACAGCAAGTGACTTATTCTGTTTTCTCTTTGTTTGTTAATTCTTATATTGAACCCATAATTGCAGCTGTTCAGGATATCGGAGAGGGGATTTATTGCTAAGCAGAACCATAACGGACTAAGAGAATCGCCTTGAAAAATTCCTCTTCGGATCATTATTGGATCTGACTGAATTGTTTGTTCATTTAAGGTTATTTGGAGGGTGGTCTTCCAAAATTCCATGGAACATTTGAGAAAAGTGCAGATTTTAGTATCAATTTTGTATAATTCCAGAATTTTGCATAGCCAGGAATGAGGGACAGAATCGTAAGCTTTCTTATAATCAATAAAAGCAGTATATATGTTTCGGTTTTCTTTTCTAGCTTGTTCACAGATGATGGAATCTATGATTAATTGCTCTTTGCAACCAAAGGATCCTTTAATACATCCTTTCTGTTCTTCATTAATGATGTTAGAGTTAAAACAGTGTTGATAGATTTTTTATTATTATTATTAAGACCCACCACTGACCCGGAAATGACCGGCATTCAGGCAAGATTTCTATCATTACGGGTACTAAGACCAAGTAATGATATGCATTGATTAGATTATTATTAATAATAATATTATTATGAAACTGCGATCGGGCAGAGGCCTAAGCCTGTTATGCCCGCGCATCTTTAATACCTACACTTTGTTATACTGATCATAGCTACGTTTGAAACTTAAAACCGAGTCACACAACACAACCTCCGTTTGTAAAGAATAACACTTACCAAACACCCTGTTAACAACGTATATCTGTCGATATGTTGTTTTAAAGTTACCTTTAACTAATTTAAAGGAACGACCCCTTGTCTGACCACGCATGTCTAGCTTAAAAAAGGATCGTATCACTGAGTTGTTGTTATTAAGCGCTTGAAATGTTGTAATCATGTCCCCCCTTACCCTTCTATCAGCCAAGGAAGGTAAGTGCATTAGGGGCAGTCTCCCTTCATATGAAGGGCGAACTCTACCAAACGGCAAACGAGTGGCACGACGCTGTACACCCTCCAATAATGCAATATCGCCCTTCAGAGACGGTGCCCATACAGTATTGGCAAATTCTAGAACTGGTCGAACTAACGTTTTATATAAATTGTAATAGCCCTAAACGTCCGACTAATAAGAAATATAATTCTATTCGCCTTCTTAACTACTTCAGCTATGTACTCGGACCACAAGAGGCAGGATGAGACCATTACACCCAAATCGCGATAAGAGTCAACCTTGGACAGTTGCGTGCCATTCACATGATAATCATGCTTTGGATTTCGGCTACTATTAGTATATAGCACGACGCATTTTGCGAAGTTAATAGGTAGCAACCATGTACACGACCAATTGGCAACCACATCTAAGTCATTTTATTATAGATCTTCAGGTCATCCGCATACATTACAAAAGGCGAGTTCAAAGAATATTTAATGTCGGAGGTATAGATCACAAAAAGAAGGGGCCCAAGCACCGATTCCTGAGGAACTCCACTCAGCACTCTTCTCTGCATATTAAATACGTCACCCACTTTAACACTGAACAACCGATTAGAAAGAAAAGCCTCTATCCAGCGAAGAAGGTTTCCACGTACGCCAAAATGGTTGAGTTTAAGTAGAAGATGTCGCAAAGGCACTCGATCGAAGGCCTTCGAGAAGTCCAAATACAGAACATCAGTTAATTCGCCGGAATCAAGCGTCTTGGTCCAGTCCTCAACACTGCAGAGTAAATTTGTAGTAACAGATCTACCAGGCACAAATCCGTGTTGCTCTGTAGGGATTATATTACAGTTAATTATGAACTCTATCAACGCATCATAAACAATGGATTCAGCGATTTTGAGTACGTGAGACGTTAAACTGACAGGTCTATAATTGTCAGCAACAAACTTATCACCCTTTTTGCATATGGGTTTCACCATCGCGGACCTCCATTCAAGAACAAGAGTCCCCGACTCAAATGACTGTTCCATCAGAATCTTTAAAGGTTGGCACAAACATTGGCACTTTTTGAGAAGACTCACGGTAATGCTATCTGGTCCAGGAGATTTGGTTATGCGCAGTTTAGATATCTTTTTAGCTATTGCTACTTCAGAGAATTCAACGAAAGTAATAGTTGTGGAATTTGGGGGTGTCTGTACAGTACGGAGATTAGAATTTGTGTCAACCGTAAAAACTTTAGCAAACGTGTCCGCAAACAAATTAGCGACCAATTGACTATCTACTATTTGACTATTTGTAAAAACATTTCACATCTTTGAAAGCAGCAATGCGCTTCTGATAGTTGCATCTGGCATCTCTTATAGTAGCAGAAACTTTGTTTGAAAACACTCTGTGTCCCTTGTAATCACTCTCACTACCAGTGCGCTTGTAACAACGCCACAGCGCCCTTTTTTTTCTAATAAGTTTGAGAATCTGTTTGGTGATCCAAGGTTTATTTGAAGACTGTTTTCTTACTACGGAAACTGTGTGTTTGGTCACCACAGAATTAAGCTGTTTCTTAAAAATAGTCCAATTGTCTTCTACAGATGGTTCCACAAGAATGGTGGACCAGTCAGTGTTGAACAGATCTCTGTTGACCAGCTCATAATTCGTAATAACCCTACAAGTAGAGGTAATCCTCCTTCGCCTTTCAAAACAGATTTGCACGTCTACCTTTAACACCACGTGATCAGATTTACCAACAGGATCCAGATAATCTAAGTTTGCTAGTAACTTATGGTCCGAGGTGATAATTAGATCGAGGGTTGACGGTGTTTGGTTCGTCCTATAACGGGTCGGTTCAGTAATAATTTGCTCTAGATGACTGTTTGTCAGTACATCACACAACAATTGGGAAGGAATGTCAAAATTAGCGTTATGATCAAGAGGCCAGGTTATGTCAGGTAAATTAAAGTCTCCCGCGATAATCAGTTTGTCGCAGCTATCGGCAATTTTTGACACGAACGTAAAGAGTTTTCTATCATCACCAATTGCAGAGTCTGGGGGTCTGTATATACATCCTAACACAAATGAGATACTACTGTTCGATAATTTGAGAAATAGTGCTTCATTTTTGCCGATTTCCGAACTTAAGATATTAATTGTGAAACTGGAACAAATCAAGTCCGCTACAAAGATGCACACACCGCTACCCCTTCTGCCGTCCCGGTCGTCCCTCAAAAGAGTGTAACCGTTTATAACTAATGTATCAGGAATCGCAGGGCTTAGCCACGACTCTGACAACATTATCAAAGTTGGTTTCAAAGATTGCACCAGCACAGAGAGGTCGTCATATTTTGCCATCAGGAAAGCTATATTAGTGTATACTAAACTGCCAACAAAATATTTGACAGATGAATTATTTTGAAAACTGAATTTGAAAAGAAAAGAAACGAAATCGAATCCCTATTAGGAACCGCCTGAGGGGCCAGCCACAGTATCCGTAGCTTTATTACATGTTTTATCTACAAGCCTAGCAAGCGCCTTTTTTATTTTAAGTCTAATTTTTTTAATACAATTGCGGACGCTATTATGAGTAAGCAGCGGAAAAATATCGATTAGCATAGCCGAGACTCCTTCTACGTCAGTCGTGTATTTTCGTATTAACTCTAAGATATCCAATTCACCAACAGCTTTCTCCACAAATCGGGTTAGCTCTTCAAAATTTAGCGGGTACTGGGCGTTGTCTATTAAATCTTTAGCGGGCTGGATCACATTAAAATCCTAATATTATTGGTCTAGTAGCTCACTAAATATGCCTTTCTTTTCCGCTTAGGTCAACTGGGGTGTTCACTCTTACTTGATCTTTTGTGTTGTGCTTGTTTTCAGATTCCACTCGCTTTCGTTAACATACGATAAAGGAGGAGAATTTCCGATTGTACCTAAGTCACATATTTGATTATAGTTGCTTGGCAGTTTTCAATATAGATGAAAATTCAGAAACCGAAGAATGAACAAGACAATATAGACAAAAAGCAGATCAAACGAAAGTGCAAAAGATAAATTTGGGAGAAGGAGAAGGACTTGCCAAAACAAGAATCAAAAAGACCTGTAAAACTGAAAGATTATATTATACACCGAACACCGTGTTGAAGAAGAAGCATTATTATTGATTTACGAAGAAACTACCAGTGGACCAGAAAAAGACAAATGGCTTGAGGCTATAGAATCCCTTTAAAAGATAACCCAAGATGTTATTTAAAAAAGCTGGGTTGTTAATCGGGGTGGTACTAAATTCGCTTCACGAAAATTATATCTTCGATGTACTTGAAAATGGAATGCCTGAGTGGTCTTTAAAAATTAATTGATTTCTAAGCAAGAACAGTGAGCATCCTCCCGAATTAACGGAAAATAACTACTTACAATTTCATTTTTGAGATCGAGACTCCATCAGTTGTCAATACTGTATCTTCTATCCAAAATTATGTGATTGTGGTTTAAAACCCCAGCACTTGCCACGACTAGCACAATTAATATGCGAACATAGCGTACAATTTGTACAATAGACACGTTTTCGGATTATTGTAGATTGAGTAAAGTTCATTGTCACACTCACCAGACTGATCGGGCATGTTGCTAAAAATGTCACAGTCGAGTTGTGTCTTTTTTCAGTTGTCAATGTTGTCTAATAATATGTGATTTTTCCAAGCAACGATGTCAAGAAAGTCAAGAGTATTGTAATAACCCAAAAACATTCCGCCAAAATTGAGACATCCGCACAAAATTTGAAAACTCGCGAAAAATTTTAAAAGTCACAATGAACTGTAATCGTCAAGAAGTGGAGGAACCCTACGTTGTGTTTTGAATGGCGAAATGCGTTCTGTTGCAAGTGGTGAACCGCAAAGGTGGAAGAGTGACCTTGAAATTAACAACACAAAAATTTGGCGGGAATAATTTAATTAAGTTCTTTCTTGTTTTTTTTGTCAATATTTCTAGTTACAGAAGTCTCGTTCTTTTGAAGTGCAAAATTACAAATTTCGATCACATATAAACACAGCTTGTTCTTAAATGTATACAATGCGCTAGTTGGTAAATTCATATCTAAGGGAAATGGAAAGCAATGCCGAAATCATTATTGTGGTGGATGTTGATTATTTAAAACGATTTAACTACCATCGAACCACAGCTACGTACAATCAAGCCGTGATGTCCCCAAAAACATCGCGAATCGAATTCCCTAGCACATAAATACATAAAAAACATGTTCAATATGGTTAAAAACACAAAATATCGTTCGGTTTGTACATCGCTTTGAGAGGTACGCTTGAGAATAAATATTCCAAAATCCCTTTTGCCCTTTCGAATCCAAGACGACATTTATTTCGCTGATTATTTCCAAAGCGACTCAATCTGTAAAAATTTAAATTTTGAATACTGCCAATTACTATGTTAGAATTCCAAATGGTAATCTATTTAATTCAAACCATCACAATTTAAGAAGAACCATCCATCCCCTGAGACATTTGACAATTTAAATTATCATAAAATATTACATCAAAACATTTCTGGTCTAATATTGTTTTTTTTTTGTCGTCACACCAGAAAATAAAATGTATAATTTCTCGAGACTTCGTGAACTTAAATAACAATTTTATCGCTTTTAACAAGTTCAGCGCGCCCCGGGAAAACCACCAGCTGGCCAGTCAACGCTAGTCTAAACATTAATGATGCAATGTGTCGAATTGCATAATGGCCAGACGTCGTCGGATTACGTGAGATTGACGAATTATCAATTAAAAATCATAATAAACTTTACCTACACATGGGGGTAACGATGGTGTAGCACTGTATATCTAGAAATAAGGGAAGTATGTGAAACTGGTTGTCAGTAATTAATTCCAAGAAAGCGAAAGTAAGCCTTAAAAAATGGTTGTGTGAGAAGAAAGTGGTAATAACTGAAAAAACTTTGGGGGCTTATTTTGTTCAGAGAAGCTTAAAGCCGAAGTCTCCTGGAAACCTTTGAGTAGAGTGTTCTGTGCTTAAAAGCACCATAATGAGGGAAATATTGTTAAATTTATTAATTGTACAAATTGTACGTTTAATTTTTATAAATAAATTCCTTAGTAGAAATTACTATTGATTGCTTACCAAATTCGTGCTGTAAGTAATTTAAGAGCACTGTTATTTTTTTATGTCTCGATTCGAACTACCGAAACCTGTACAAGATAACCCAGACGTCTAATATTGTGTACACCCAGTTTCTAAGCAGTTAATTACAATTCTATAAAACAAAGTGAAGACTTGGAATGACGAAACATTAAAAAGAGTCAAGCATTACGCCATTAAGATTATTGGGTTTGGACCCCTCGTTTTGAAAAAGTATAAACGAAAATGACATTTTGAAGTTGTACTTTCGGGCTTTGAGGGTAAATGGCAACACATATTATCACGGCTATTTAATGAAATTATTTTATAAACCTAACAATAAAATTATGTTCTTACTATTTTAATCACACGCATATTTTGCTTAGATAGCTTGCAACTTACCTATATAAAAAATACTGAATAAATTAAAATTGATCATAATGCTTAACTATAGTACAAATCAATTTTATATGTATAAAATATGCAAAGGAAGAAATTTGGGTCAGTTTTCAGGTTGTTACGATACTGAGAATCCGCAGTGGCTGCACTCTTTCTTGCGCATGCAGAGGCAGCAGATAATTCCAACTGGGAAGCAAAAAATGCAGCAAAGCCAACCGCACAGCGTGAACGAAGATTCAAAATGTCCCACGTGGCACACTGGACAAGATCCACCACCTGAGGCTGCCGCTGTATTGACGGTGACTTGCGTTAGATCTGCAAAAAAAAACAAATATTAGGACAAGACTGTAACCCTAAAAAGACTGTAACCCTCCTGTCATTCTACCTCCATGATATGTAGGTACTATTATCCAGAGATGTGTTCTTTTTGTTTTAATTAATTAATTATCGCATATCTATATTTTTTGAATTGCAACGTATACATTTTAATGGATTTGTCAAATGAGTTACTAAATTAGGTATTTTAATTTTAATTCTGACAGGATTCTTTTTCAATATTGTATCTTGTGTGTGGGAGGAAAACAAAGTGCCAACGCCCTCCTATAATATATACACTGTGTATCAGTGTTTACACTGTTGTCTAAGTGTTTGTATAATTGATAAAAGGTGATCTATTTACATAATGTATTTTTGTAGGGTTTGGGAAATTTGGAAAATTGTTGTCTGAGAATTTTTAATTCTGACAGATTTTTCATAGACATATTTTACTAAAACAGGTTGTGAAAAACAACGCTTGCATTGAATAAAATAAATCTAAGTACAATATTGTGAAAACTGGTTGTGTCAGAGATAGCGGAAGTTGTGTGTAAATAGATTTAGCGATTTTTTTAAACGAAATTCCGTTGACGTCGAATGTATGCAAGGTCATCATAAATGAAGCGAAATTGTAGTGCAAAAAGATATTTTCATTCACCATAACTGCATTTTATATCATATACACAATACTTTGGTATAAAATCTTCATTTTGTATCATTTAACTAGAAAATGACGTCACGACATTTTACTTATTTTCTTCTAATAATTTGAGACACAAAAATGTCCATTGTTGCTAATTTGCTGATTGCATTTCTCTTATTTATGACCCCGATAACTGTCTCCAGGGTGCTTATCAGATAATTATAGCCGGTTTAAATAAAATCTATAAAAAAATAGTGCCGCTATTTAGAACTATAAATAATTGAAAATCGCTATCTCCGTGAACACACATGGAAAATAAATATGTACTTTTACACACATTTACGGAAACGTCGGTTGTGAACTTACTCTATTCTTGTTCTGACGACTTGCAACTTTGTGTTTTCTCGACGTTTCGTGGCTTCTAGTGTACGAAAAAAGTAAAACGCTAACCAAAAATCGAAATTCCAACAACTTCGTCGACCGTACCGAAGCAACAAAAAATAAATGTGAAATCAATAAATAAGTAATGAACGAACTTGTAACCAGGTGTGCAACATATATACAAACATGAAAAGTTGAAGCAGATAACAAGGTGAAATTTTATTCATAGTTGCCATTAACTAGACGAAACGATATCAAAACATATAGGGATTGGACACATAGTAGAGAGGTACATAGAACGGTAATTCCCCTGCTGAAAGATGTACGGAAATTGAATCATTCACTTATAAAACGTATTGATAAAATAACATTTCAGCTATCTGGAGATTAGATAGCAAACATAAAAAATAAATCCAATAAAGCTTTTTAGCGAACAAATGCATGTTCATCGGCGTCTGTAACAGAAATTTTTGTAATAATTTTAAAGAATCGATAAATAAATGTCATTTAAAAAAGGAAATAAATTGAGTGTATTATCTAAATGGATTAACAAAAATTGGCCAATTGATAACATTGTTTTTAACAAATAAGAATTTAATATGACGAAAAGTTGCATTAACAACTAAAATTGTGTAACATATCAATGTCGGTGTCTATACTTTTATTAACAATGCGGTAGATATGTTATCTAGTTTCAAATATTACGTAAGGCATATTTTCAGCGACACGCAGTGATCACCAAACGCAAAACTATATAATGCCATAAAATTTTTATACAGTAGGTCGGTAAAGTTCGCACTCGTTTTTGGCCGCTGACGTCATTTTTTTCATCTACGTTTTAGTTATGTTAAATTAGCACAATTAAAAACATAATCCAATAATTTTTTCAGATGACATTATCAGATATATAGAGGTGATAAATATATAAATGATCATTGGATTAAAAGAGTTATTTAGGAAAATTTTGGGATGAGGTCATCAAACCACTTTTGGTTATCGTTTTACCATCTACACCATAATCTCGAAGAGTTTTAACACACACATACAGAAGCGCATTTTCGTACTTTACAAGCTGTGAAACTTCAAAAAAGCTCAGCGAAGCACTTGTTTGTAGCAAAAACATGAAGTAACCAAGGAAAGCACTTACGAGGTTGCACAACTGGAGGTGTCGATATGACTGATGGTGGCTGCTGTTGAAAATTTTGCTGAGGGTGATACTGTTGTTGAGGGTGAAACTGCTGCTGATTTTGAAAGTGTGCTTGTGGCTGATTATATGGGTCGTAATTAGTTGGGTGATTATAAGGTGGTGGTACTTCGTGTTTTTCCATTGTTAAGATTGATCCTTTACGTAAAGTAGGAACGAATGCCGCTGCTCTATTTCCTGTCAACCACTCACTTGTTGAAATTAGACGCTACTGCAAGCTCTGCATTACGTGCTCCCGCTAAAGCGTAGCTATGAGCTGATTATTGTCATTCGGTTTAAAAATGCAATGTGCGCAGGTTATAAAAAAAAACGTAAAATAGGTATTTGTGTAATAAGATTAATAATACAGGAGAAGTGATTATTATTTAAAATCAAAAACGCGCCATGTATGGCAAAAAAAAAATCCGATCGTGGTGCACACACGGTTTTTTCAATGAGTGCCTGAATAAGTCAATAACTCCAATAAATTATCAAAAACATTATTGATAAATAATAATATTAATAATCGAAATAACGGACGTCTACAAAATAATTGGAACTATCGGTAGTCTTTAAAGCAAAAAAAGTCTAGGTTGGTGCTGTGATCATTGCGGGAACTTACAATGTGATAATATAAGCCAGTGAGCCCGGACGATGAACCGATAAAAATAGTGGATATAGTTACGAAATAAATAAGTAAGCAAAAATTATAAGCACTTGTCGGTTCATCGACAATAAAATGGAAAATTTGAAAGGTTGTAAGGAGTGATGTTTCAACCTCCGAGACGTGTGGTAATAAACTTAGTAAGAACTACTAAAGTAGAAGACTAAAAACTTATCAAAACTCAAAATTGACATGCGAAACTCAAAATTAACTACTAGGTAACTATGTTTGTACATTTTAGAAAAATAAAATATAAAAAGTGTTACATGTGAGATATTTATTTTGTGTTGCATTGAAATTTGGTCAGGGTCCCGTATAATATTTCTAAGATCATTTTTAACTGACTTAAAGTAGTGTCCAACACAGTTACGTCGTTACTGTCTACGATCTTGTTAGCTGTTATATCCCAAACTAAGTACATTTGCTTTCCCTGTGCTATGTAATGTAATAAACAGTGACCCATGCTTGTAACATACTGGTGACATCCACATTGTTTCAGACTAGAGACGTGCTCGCTGGTACATCATCATAACGTTGTGTTAGTATGTCGCTAGATTCTCTATATTTTGATGTATCTGTTACATTTTATTTTAAACGCCAATATAACGTATTAAATGGACATAGACGTTACGTATATATCGCAACATCGTAAACATATGACTCTCAGTATATTTTATTAACATGATCTATGCGATATGAATAGGCATTTCAAAAAGTCTAGTTACCATTTAGGGATATGGATATGGAGAGTAAAATTTAGAGCTTACAGTAAATTATTTTTTTTATTCAATGTTTGAAAAAATATAATATGTAATAAAATACAAAAATTAATATAAATAAATATATACAGGGTTAGTCACGAGAGAATTACTTCTGAAAATTATTTTTACGCAACCCAAAATACGAATACCATGTACCATTTGATACTAACTGAATTTAAAATGAAATCCTTAATCCATGATTGCTTTGAGTTTGGCAATCTCATTTTGACAATTGTGGCCAAGGAGGTTACGCGAGTGTCCATGGTGGTACCGCAGCCAGTCGGAAATCTCCTCTGGCGCCGCTAATAAATTTGTCAGTGTGCCTCTTGATCTTTTGCAACCGATTAATCACGAGAAAATTATTTCTAAAAATTCCTTTTACGGCATTTTATTCAAAGATTACAACACAAACTCAAACAAGTAAGTAAATAATTCAACTACTAATCTGTTGAAAATGTTGGGCATTTTGGGGGGATGCTACGGCTTTTTTGTAAATAGATGGCCGAAGAAGTCCAGAGGTTGCAGATTTGCACTTCGAAGAGGCTCTAGGTGACGCAGAGCTGGCGAATTAACACATGCACATTAGTGGCGAACAACATTGGTAGAGCACTTACGGCTTCAGTGTAGCCCAGATTGATCTGACTGTATGTCGTCAATCCAATGGGGCTCTAGAGGCGAGTCAACGATGAAAAAAAATGTTAAAAAGTAATTAACGTCAAAGTGACACTGCCAAAGTCAAAGCAATCATGGATTAGGCATTTCATTTTAAATTTAGATAATATCAAGTGGTATAGGGTATTAGTATTTTGGGTTGCGTAAAAATAATTTTCAGAAGTAATTCTCTCGTGACTAACCCTGTATATATGATTTCCAAATTCGAAAATAATACAATATAATTTACACTTAAAAAAAGACACAGAAACTATAAACTGTCGTTGTTTTTTCTTTCTTCAGGCGTTGACTAGAATGTCGTAGCCACTCTGAGCAGCGTTGTTGTACTTGTTTTTCTATTGCGGAATGGGTCTTCATTGTAATTTCTTCAAAAATAAAAATTGTAATAATTATATTTATTGCAAAAAAAAATACCTTTCATGATATTCATTGTTTTTGTCCCAGCCATTTTGGAATTTTCCTACCGAACAAACAAGCTACAGCAAATTCGCTGAAATTTTTTTTTTAATACACGCCCCACATTGTTATTTTTCCCATTACCACCTATCTGGGACAATAGCAGTTCCTGAAATAAGAAAAGAAGAAAATATTTTTATGTGTATATATCGAGTGATTCTGAAATAAGTTCGGAAAATAAAACCACAACATCACGAAGTAGAGAAAATTTTAAGTAATTTCTTTTATCTAGTCCTAATTCAGGGGAAAAAATATCAAGATCTACACCTCATTCAGTGCCATTTGTTTTCATCTAAGCAACACACAGCAAAAACAAAGAAAAAATTTAGTGACAATGGAAACTGAATAAATCATTGCCGCATCATTTACATTTAACAAGATGTTCCGTATTTGTTTCTTGAAACTGGAGCAGCAATTTAATTACTTTGAATCCGTGTGACAATTAAAGGATTTTTTTTCCGAATCTATTTGGAAGGGACTGCGTATGTATAACATACAGGGTGCTTCACTATAAGACTTTTCTGCAACCCACTATGTATGTAACGTGTTAAGCGAAATGTGTCATGTTTAGTAGGTTCCTAAAAAGTGTTATAGTGTTACAGGCATCTACCTGTATATAACATCCAAAATTATGTTATATGTAAGTACATATAAATTTATTGTATTTTTTTAACTTACAAAGAAACCTGCTTGTTGTAGTAGGCAGAGATAATCTTCTAATTCCTCAAAATTTGTTTACCTGTGGTCTTGGCGGCATATCTTCTATTACTGTTTTCTTTCTGATTTGTCACATTTGATGACGTTTTCATATTGGAGATTTGTTCACTCGTTTCCTTTAGAATTTCTTTTGTTTCGCACATATTTTTTGTATTTGTTTCAAGTCTAGAGTAAAATTATGTTCATTAGCACCTAGTTCATAAAAAATTGCAGTAACACACCTTTGCAACATGTTATGGCAAAGCGCCTCACTTTCAAAAACAATCACCGTAAGTTCTTCAAAATCAGCGGGAGTATCTTCAGTGATTAATGGTGGTATTTCCAGCTTATCTGAAAAAACTGTTGTTGTTATTTACGTACAGTTATCAAAAACAACAGAAGCATGTAAAAATTAAAATGATTACTTCATTAGAATTATATTAACTTACCTAGTGTAAATAAAACCCACACTGAATGGCACAATTTTCACAAAACTGCATTAAAAATGAAGTGAGTTACGGATTCACGAGAAAGGTTCGGTGGTTGTGAACCAAATGGCCAAATGGAATTCGACAGCTTCACTGTGAGTGTGAAGTGCAATAACCATAAATACGGAAAAAAGGGATCGTCCGACTCTTAGACAAACCAAACCAACAAAGGTCCGACGGCACCCCCCAAAGATCTGGTGGATAGTAAATGCAGAAGTTGAGCGTTATTTTTTCATTAGATGAAATAAATTTAATAAAAGCAAAATTAACCACTCTCTAATTTTTTTGCTACCCATCATCGCTTTATAAACGTCTTTATAAAATCTAAATTCGACGAATGAACTCTTCAAAACCTTGTCCCGTTTCAGGGACAATGGGCAAAGAATTTTTATGGCTTTGTTTGTGTCGTTGGGTCTTCCCTATATTACCCCAGATGTTTAAGGTGACCAGACGTTCCGATTTGATCGGAACTGTACCGACTTCAATACTCTAATTCCGATTTCAAATTTCGTCCAATAAATGTTTCGATTAAAACATTCGTTCCGTGAATGTTCCGATTTCTATAAATCTGATAAGAATAAAGATAAATCCTCAGATAAATCACAAATTTTCATGAATAGTAATTTTATTTTGTGAAAAATTGGGAACAAAACTTGTATCAATACGGTTGTCAGCAGATGTCAGTACTGTTAGTATATTACAACAAAAAAATTTCAAAGCAGTTATATATCAGATTACGATGGAAATGGAAACTAATGTTCCGATTTCGGACTTTTGAAATCTGGTCACCTTACAGATGTTCTATTTATAATTTGCCAAGCAGGTACTTACAAAATAACATTTCAAGTGAACAAGTTTACAGAAACAATTCTTAGAAATTATTACAATGAAAAAAACTTGTCTTTGGTGTATTTCTAATAAAGGCGTTGTATTTTTCGCTCTGAATATAATTATTAATTAAGCATTACGAACTCACTGACGAAGGTCACTTTTTAAAGAATACGACGACCCACATCTAATTGACCATATAATCTTTAACAATAAATTTCAAATAATACCATAGCGGTTTTTTTAAATTTTGATAAGGTGTTGTAAAACTATTTCTGTTTCTGTCTTCATTCCAGATACTGTATTTACGTGGGCAAAGGATGCCGTACGTGGGATTTTAGGGGCGGAAACGTATACTTGCTTAAATACTGTAAATACAGTGGTGTCGAACGAAGACAAAAACAGAAACATACCCGATGTATTGGTTATTATTAGAGAGCGGATTTTATGAAATTTGCATATCCGTTATTTTTTGCATATAAGTCTTGATATTTAATATGTGAACGAATCATGCTAATTAAAAATGAATACAGCTATAAAAAAATTGCGTATTTGCATATACCTATTTGCCTTCTGCTGCATATTTCACGTAACGGGTGCATATTTTGCATTTTTATCAATTTCTGTGCTACTTTGAAAAAAAAAATGGCATTCGATCGGCATTTTTCTAGAAAGACGAAATTTCATGAATCATATTGCAAATATTGTCCTGAGCTTCAAATAACTGGGAAAGGTTTGGGTTTTATGGTAGTTTGAAGGAACCACTGGGTGTTAAGCCATCCTTCCAGGTAAATTCGGGTCCTAATTACTTTTGGATATACCGTTCACTTCAATATTTTTGTTCGTTGTATTAATGGTATGTTTTATGGTGGTCGACGGGACGTTATCCTATTATTTTTCATTGTGAGTTTGCATTTACGAGTAAGTATTTAAAGCGATAGGGGTGTGTGTCAATATGTAGATAACTCAAATTAATTTATGAATTAAACCTTTTCGTGAACTTATTCTTCAAGAAGGAACTGTGTTTTGTTGTGCCTGCTCTAATCCGATAAGTATTTTTACATCTGTGGACGCAGTACGCAGTTTTTATATTTACAAATACATACTTTAGAATCACCGGAAAAATTTTTGTTAGAATATTTCGAAAAATATTTAAAAATAAATTGTTACCAAAATAGTAATTAAATAGTCGATTACTACTATTTTTTAATTCGTTCTGTTTACCTATATTTATTTTTTAGTATAAGAATATTATCTTAAAAAATGTCATTTATTTGTCAGTGAGATCTAATTAAACACTTTGCAATGTGATTTATGTATTTTTTGTAATAAAAGGTAAGGTGTTTTTGCAATTTGTAAATAAATTTAGTTCGGTTATTACGCTTTTTTTTTATTTTCGGAGCATATGCAACTGCATATCTCTGCATATATTAAGAAAGTTATTGCATATTTGCATAAATTTGATGCATGTCATATGATCATATTTCCCAAAATTTTGCTGCATATTTTCCGCTCTCTAGTTATTATGCATACACTCTATTGCCGAACATTAAAAAAAGTCTACACTATTTCGTCATATCTGCTGCTTTATTATCAGTTTTCAGTTAGCTACATATTGGATATGAAATGAAGTGAATTTTGTGAATAATTTAAAGATCAACCACGAAAATACTCAAATATAATTATACATTATACATTACCAGTTTATTTTAGAGCCCAAGATTACATTGGAAAAATCTAAACTTTTGAAAATTTAATGTTAAACAGATATACTGAGTGCGAAAGTCAATACACAAAACTCGATGATCAATTATTGTTTCGTATTCAAATTATTATTTATTTTCCTTACGATCAAAGTGCAGAAATTATTTAATTCATTTTTATTTAAGAACGATATCGCTGACCTTGAAATAGATTAGTTTTTTAATTTCGATTTTTTTCTTTGTGTTGCTTTTGTTGCCGATCAACATATTTTGCATTAGAATTAATAAAATAATGAAATATATCATTTTATTTTTCAAGCTCATTTCAAAATTCTGTATATGTATAATTGTTCCTTTTTAGCAGTGACGCATAGGCAGAGGTTAAAAAATAATGTCTCATTACTAGTCTTAATTCGTATTACCTGTTAGATGGGACATCTTTTAATTCTGATCATAAACTATGTGCATTAAGTGTCTTGTTCTGTTTTATAAAGCGCAGGTCGTTATGGACGTATAAAAATAAAATTATAAATAAATATAATTACAGAAAATATAATATGAAAAAAAAAAATTAAGAGCAACTCACTATTGGCGTCATCTCGCTTGTGCAAGATTTAAGACAGGGAAGAAATTTCTTTTTTTAAGACTCAGCATCTTTTGTTTATGAATATACTATTTATTTGCAACACAGACATAAATAATAAATATAAAATAGAGCTATATAATACTCGATATGTATGTTTTTAAATGTTTTTTGCTGTTGCCCTGTCAGAAACGTTAATTTTCGATTTAACATGCCATTTTGTAAAATGAACTGAAAAACACTTTACATCATTAACTAATAAAAATAAAACATTCCGAAGCATGTATATATATATATATATATATTAATCAGATATCTAGTAACTACAGTTAACATTACTTTTGGTTACATAACCGTAGTACTCCTTTGTGATGTTACAAGGCTTACCTGCCAACTATATCGCTGCGACACAATAATGAGATATTTAGTAAATGCAGTTAACATTAGGTGTTAGTTACATAACAGGAGTACCACAGTGTGATGTTTAAATGCTTATATGCAAGCTATATCGCTGCGACATAATAATGAGATATCTAGTAAATGTAGTTAACATTACGTGTTGGTTACATAGCATGAGTACTCCATTGTGATGTTATATAGCTTACGTTCCAGGTATATTGTTAAGACATAATCATGCGATGTACTTATTGTTCTTTTGTGAGTACGTACCTGTCACGTCAACATCACAATTGTGTTTACTGGGATAGTATACAATTGAGGAGTCACATATCGCAATTAAAGATGTCTCATCATCCCTGAAACGGTCAAAAGATGCCTTTACAACGGGGTGCGACGATATTCCTTCGTTTTTACGCTTGACCCCTATGTATTTTCGTTAATCTGATTCAAAAACAATCAGTATTTCCCTCCGTATGGACAAGAGCTTATATCAATCTTATTGTCAAAAAATGAAGATCGAATGAGGTTATCAATTACAGAGATATTTCGTTATTGTGTAATTTTGCTAAAACCTTCGAGCCAATTTTGTCTATTGATATTTACAATCGTAAATTTGGCAAATTTTCCTCAAGCTGTTTCAGAGATAATTGATAACAAAGGACAATGTGATGTTATCTTCACGGCCTTCACAAAGACCTTATTTCATTTTAATTGAAAAACTAAATTTCTTATTAGGATTTTCTAATTCGTTAATTAAACTATTTCATTTTTATTTAGGTCAGAGAGAGTTCATCCTCCGTCATCAGGTGTACCTCAGGATTCAAATAAGGTCCACTATTATTCCTTCTCTTCACTAACGATGTTGCAGATGTGGTGCCATGTAGAAAACTAAATTTTTTAATTTTGTTAGCACAGATAATAATTTGTCACTGTGACAGATTCACAGATCACTGCGACATTATTTAAAAAGAAAATGCCTAAAATAGTTTTTTGCGCTGCCATAGCTATAATTGATATTTTACGTTGACACGTGGCGTGTCGCAATGGCAATGAAAAAGGATCTAGTGTTGCAAAATACAAACGAGGAATTTAAGCTTTGAAAAAATAAATTGATTATCACAAAGTAATTACTACTAATTGATAATCATGTATCTAAAGTTATTATAACAAAAAGTGGCTCGAAATTTAAAAAAAGTGCAATTTAAGTTGTAATCTTAAATAGGGGAATTTGTTGATCAAAATTTAGATTTACAGTAATTTGACAGTTGACACTAATCGGTGGTTTGGTTTATGTTGTTGACAACTATTATGTTATTACTGTTTCTTAGTAGTTCTTGTTAATTAAAAAAACCGTTTAAACTTGACGTTATTCCCAACCTCACGCTGAATCATAATCACAAGATTCTCTCTGATCTGGAGCCGTATATAAAAATGTTTCCACTGGTAAGTATTTCAGACTTCTTGGGCTTGTGTCATTCTGCCGCTTTAAAATCGCTGTTAATTTATAAAATTTCGAATGATTTATGTTATGTTTGATGCCAAGAGTACTTTTCAGAACTGAATATATTGTCCACAGTGTGGATGCTTTCATAATTTCCGACTTAATTTGGAAATAAACCAAGAGCGTCGTTTCAGAAAATTCGCGTGCACGAATTTCCATTTCAACTTTGAAATTCAAAATCTAGCCCGGACAAATTGACAGATTGGTATTTGACGTATTTGGTAATAAATTCAATACCAACATAATTTCGGTTCAGTAATATTTATTCTTTTAGCGATTGAAACATGTTATTTTTTCAAAAAGGCAGCGCAAAAAATATTGTATGATACTCGTGTGAAAACTCCATTGCATTACTCACTTACATACAGCGCTCGACTGCGTCTCGCGCCGTATTCCCGTTCGTAATGCAGTGGACCGTTTTCAACACTTGTAACATAAATAACTATTACAGCAACAAAAAATTGCAATAAAAAGATGTTTTTGGCAGTTTCGAAAAGACAGGCCCGATCTTTCTTTCGAAGAAGTAA